CTTTCCCTCGGTGATTAGACATGTCGAAGTAAAGTTTCGCAGATGATTTCATGAATATAAAAAACAAGACCGCATATCCATAAAATGTGCATTAATCAGCGTATTTAAATAAAATACATAGTTTCCAATAATTGTAATCTGTAAAAAAAAATAATTCTGATAACATTGACGTGCTAAGGGGGTACCACCACCACCTCTATTGCTGCGATGGAAAAACTCAAAGAGGGTCCAATTGATTTAATTCACCAAATTATAATAAAACAGAATTTTCTCACATATTAATTTCTCCATATGCCCTTCGTCTTCTCTTCTCAGTCTTCGACCTCACATATATAATCCCAATGGTCATATAAATTTCTCTGCAACGACTTAATCGACAAGCTTCTCTTCTTGTCCCCGAGAGATTCAAAGCGAAAACAACTCCACACACATACACACGCATATACACACACACACACACACACACATCTATATATATATATATATGGGGAGGCACTCTTGTTGTTACGAGCAGAAACTGAGGAAAGGGCTTTGGTCTCCTGAAGAAGATGAGAAGCTCCTTAATCATATTACAAGATATGGGCATGGCTGTTGGAGCTCTGTTCCTAAACTTGCAGGTTTGGTCTGAATAAACAACTTGGCAAACAATGCCCATTAATTTGTTTTACAGTTAAACAATATATATATATATATATATCATCAAAATTTCTTTATTCGAATTGTCGATCACAGGTTTACAGAGATGTGGAAAGAGCTGCAGATTGAGGTGGATAAATTACTTGAGACCCGATTTGAAGAGAGGAGCTTTCTCTCGAGAAGAAGAGAACTTGATCATTGAGCTCCATGCCGTCCTTGGAAACAGGTAAAAAAAAAACGATGAGAATCTAAATGTGGTCTGAATTTTCTGAACATAATTTCTGATATATATATGGAATTGCAGGTGGTCTCAGATAGCGACCCGATTGCCGGGAAGGACAGACAACGAGATAAAGAATTTCTGGAATTCCTGTCTTAAGAAGAAGCTTAGACGAAAGGGCATAGACCCAGTTACTCACAAACCTCTAAACGAGCTTCAATGCAATCATTCCACGGATCAACAGAAGCAGCAGGCGCGACCAGAATCCGAACGATCCTCTCTGTCGGGTCAACCGAATCTCGTGGAAACTGTGGTAAAGTCAACGTTTTCGACGAACCCCCGTGAGAACACGACGGTCGCAGTACAATCTTCTGGTCTATGGTGGTTTCCGATGGCGATGACTCAAAACCCTTCTTTTGGATTCAGTTCAAACTCGAGCTCCTCTTCCATGGCGGTCTCAGACATGGTCTCTTGTCTCTCCTCCATGTCTTCCCCAACGCCGCCGCAGAGTTCGAACTTCAGTGTTCCCAACAACTGGGAACTGAACTACGGCTCTGTCCAGTCGCAGAGCAACAGCATCTTCAGCAGCTTCTTTGGTAACACAGAAGCACAGATGAACCCTGTGGAAGACATCAAGTGGGCATCTGAGTTTCTTCACTACGCAACAGAAAACCAAAGTTCTGATGATGTTTTCATCACGGAAGTGAAACCAGACATACATGCAATATCCCATCATCAACATGGCTCAAGTAACAGTCACTGGAGAATAAACCAACTCCAAGAAGCTGCAGCTCAGGGTTCAGATGACGTGTACGGTAAAGATCTACGGAGGCTTACGATGGCGTTTGATCAAACGGCTTAGATTGAATTTGAATTTAACACGTGTAGAATCTTATTCAAAAGTGGAAGGAGAAGAAAGAAGAAGAAGAGTATACGTATATATTAGAGGCAAGCTTCTTCATTTCATCACTCAGTACGGCTTCATAGTAAATATAAGGATATATATATATATATATGTGTGTGTGTGTGTCTTGTGTATTAAAGGTGTGTATGTATTTGCTTTTGCTTATGTGAATTTGCTCTTTATTACAAAAAAAAAAGGGTAAATGTCACTAATTTGCTTTTTCGTTTTTTTTTTCCTTGTAAGAGTTACGTTAAAGATTGAATCTTTTGATGAGAATGATGAACAAACTACTCACATATGTCTTAGTCGAAGCAATGGATGTGTGCCCCTCACAGACGTCGAGCCAAAAAGCGAAATAATAAATACCTCCAAATTATACATATTTTTTTGTAACCAACGTGACCATTACAACAACTATATGTTCCTATTTTTTAATTATGGAATTAAAACGCACAAGTTTGCATGGATCGGTCCATTAGGACCAATGCAAATTTTTTGGAACATTGTTAGAGTTGTCCTAGACAAAAAAAAAAGTGAAGAAACCTCAAATACAACTGCAAAATTTAAAAGATTCGATATTTTTGGGTAGCTTGTTATTAGTTTTACCTTATGCTTTATTCAATTTTGTAACCAACGTCGAGAAAGAAATTGTGAAATTATATCCCTTTGGAATCACGCAAATCCTTGCGACGGTCCACTCCCACAAACTCAAAAACAAAAACGAACAAATTGGCACATGCTCTAAAATCGATCATGATTAAAAAAAGTTTTGCTTTTGGGCAAGTTGAGGTGAATAAATTTAAAAAATTGGGGGTGTTTTTTTTTTGGTTTTAATGTAAGGAAAAAAAGCAGAAATATCAGAGGGACCGTTAAATCTTAAATGGATGTCCATCGATGTCTACTTTTAGATAGGGTGGGCGTTTCGGAAAACGGTTCGGGTTCGAGTTTGGTAATGCATCGGTTCGGTTTTTTCTATTTTGCAAAAATAAGTACTAATCGATTTTTATATTATGTTCGGTTTCGGTATCAGTTCGGTTCGGTTCCGATTTTTATTAAAAAGATAGATTTCCTTTAAAAATTTTCGATTTTTCGGAATTTTTAAAGTTCGGTTCAGTTCTGAAAAATTTAGTTCTCTAAAAATAATACCATTCGGGAATTTAGAATGGTTCGGATCGAAAAAAATACCGTTTTTTCGGTTAAACTCGATTCGGTTTTGAAGAATCGAACCGACATACCCAGGCCTACTTTTTAGACAGAGATTAATATATATATATATATATCTTGTCACTTAGGCTTTAGCTTCAGACATCAACAACATTTCCACGGCTTTGGAAAAAGACACTGACAAAAAAAAGTATTAAGATTTATTTATTTCTTCATCTCTAATTAACCCTTTCAACCAACACAAGCAACTATGCTAATTAGGGATAATTTTTTTTTTAAAAAAAAAGAGATTTTAAAGATTGTGGAGTATATATGTCGATATGTTCAAAAGGAGAGTGCGTACGAATCATAAGATATGAAAACAATCATATGAATATAAAAAAATTACATAAAAAATCGACTGTATATCTATAAGAATGCACCATCTATTACAAAAATTGGAATATATATATATATATATATGTATTATATATGCATCATATTCGATTCAAGAGTAAGATGTATATAAAGAGACATGTGAATAAATATATTCCAATGTTACAAGGTACGTACTGACCAATAAATTCACACGAGGGTAGCCTCTTTTTTTTTTTGAATTATTAAACTGCTTTTTTTAGGGGTGACCCATTCATTTTAATGTCCTTTCCTTGCAGAAGCGGAAGGGGCCCTTGCTGTTGACAATATATACAGTATTGCTGATGGTGAAACTTCGAAAACCATGGAAGAGAATAATAATAATAATCATAATACATACACCGAAGAAGAAAGACGCCATACAGAAACAGCCGCAAAAAAAAAAAAAAAAAAAAAAAAAAAAAAAAAACATGCACACGCGTTATGGCGTGTTTAATCTCTCGGAGACTATGGATTTTCTCATTTTAATCTTAAGGATTTGTGGATATATGTGAATAAATATTTATGATAAAAACACATATAAATTATAGTATAGTTTTTAAAAAATTGGTATCGTTTTTTCTTGTGAGATATGTAGACGCAAAGTAAGGTTCGTCCCATTGGAAATGAACGTGAAGTATATGAAATACGAAAGTGATATATATATATATATACACACACACACGAATATTATAAAAAATGATTCGAAGGAGCCCAAAACGTTTATGAGTTTTTCATATATACGGAAGACTAAAAGCCCTTTGACCTTAGGAACGCACATGTGAGCCAAAATAATTGAAGGCCCTACGCCAATAATAACCCTAATTTCTATACACATAACAACAAAAATCCTTCACGAAATCACCGTTTATATTATATATATATATGTATATATATATAAAATATCCAATTTGTATTCATCCCATACGTATACGTTTACTTTATTTTCTATTTTAAGTTATCTCTTAAAATAATGAGTGTGTCTCGGAATCTTATGTTTTCGTTGAATCATACTTTGTTTTGTACGTGAAATCAAAAGATGTGTGATTTAATATTATCTATGGCGGTGTCGATGAGATATATTTTTAAAACGAACATATTATAAATTAATTCGTGATGGGGAAATTTTGGATGCATGGTTGTATAGTATTATCCTATTAAAAAAATGTGTATATCGTACGGGAAATATGTACAAATTTTTAAATAGCGAATGTATTATATATAACCATAACACTCGAATAATTCAATTTTGACTACCCACATGACCATCCAATTTTGTAAATCTTGACGTAAATTTGAAATTTCAAATATAGATATAAACATCCTACTATATATAAATTATAACTATATTTTTATTCATTGAAATATCGAATCCATACGTGATGAATGATCGATTTGAGGGGTGAAAAGAGTGAAGAAGAGGAACAAAAAGAGTTCTCTTTGATCTCATTTCAAACTCTTCTGAGACATCAGAGTTTACAGTCATTCAGAGACCATGAATTATTTATATATATATATTTCTTCCAATGAGGCATATTGGTAGAGATGCAGAGATGTATAGATGATGGGGAAAGAACTTGTACGTATAAGAATATGAAAATAAAATCATCTGAAGACAAGATTGTGGCAACTCTTGTCACAAGGGTACGGACAATCTATTAGCTTCACTTCTGCTCTGTCGAAGTACCAATCTCCCACGGCCACCGCCACCGCCTGCGTGTATTTGCATGAAGTCAAGAACCCGATTGTGTACAGTGGATACAAGAAAACATGCATATGATTTCCCAAATTTTCACATCACAAGAGCCAATTCTTCAAAGTGTGTAATCAGTCAGACAAGTTCGGATGATAGTTATAAGCAGTTAAGAGAAGATTCTGTCCTAAAAAATTTCATACTGCAGTTCGTATTCGTCACTTTTCTGGATAATATAGCAAGAGCTGAGGAGATTGGGCGTTACCCTTTTCCGGATAATGGGAGAATCATCGGCGAACCAAGTATCTTGCCTCTCGGTCTGACAGTGAGCGAAGCAGGAGTTGATGAACAGACCGTTCTGTCTTGATGCCGAGAACCCCATGATTGTTCTCAGCATCTGATTCCTGAATCCTGTTCTCGTAAATATGACCCAAACGATTGTCTAGTGAGCGAGCTATTCAGTTTCAATGATGAGTTAAAACGTCGTGCCAATGAGATCATGATCTATTGAACAAACCTTGCAAGAACCGGATTTGTGCTGGAGTGCATCTAGCATGGTTTAACCTGCAGTCACGCCAATACCCGCTAGGATCTGCGGTCGGAGGAGCAATACTGCTTTGAATCTGTTAAAAGTGTCATGGAAAAATCTTTAATTTTAATCAGACGAACCTAAACATTCAAGTCACTAGCCGGGTTTCGGAAGGGGAAAATGTGAATCACCTGCCATGTGTCGTATGCTGCATTGACGATAAAAAGCGGAGTTTTGATCTGACTGATCAAGTTTTGAGGGAAGAAACACTGTACAGAAGGGAGATTCATGTCACAGAAAAGAGTTCGGACTCAGCCTACTGGTTGTAACGGTAAAATGATGCCTTATATGTATAAGGAGAAGAGAGCACATTAACAAGAGTAAGAGATTACCGATGTTGGATCAAGATGGTTAGTGCATACACGCGGCAGGTTGTTCCTCACGCCCTGTTGAATTCGTTACCCTTTTCATCAGCGAGTTTTCAACAAGAATCAGGAAAAAAATGCCCGATTTCCCAATTTAACCAAGACTACATCTTGTTGATGGACTTACATATTATGAATGATAGGGTTCAAATGTATCAACTGAATTGATAAATAACCAAAATGTATATTATTAAGATATAAATGATCCCTCATGATCCTAGTGTATATATCCTTATAAATGATGTATGATGAAGAAACATAAAAACAAAATCAAGAAGCTTTGCGTCACGAAGCAAGAAGCGACGCACCTGCAACTGAACCACACCATTGTATAAATTCCTGATCGTGCGGCCACCAGAAACATCAGGTCTTCATTCCGACAAAACAGCCAATCAGTAACAGTAACTTAAGTCAAGAAACAGAAATCGTTCTACATGAAACTCGAGGCAAGAAAGAATAACCTACGTGTCCAGAAACAAGCCTGCGTCACTCAAGCACTTGACTTTGGTAGTTCTTGGGAACAAATTCCTGAAGTCATCGCAGTGCAATATCGCTGCAAGACCACCAGCCGAGCATCCAGATAGAAGCGCCTGACGGATAAAACAGTTAAAAACTGGATGTCCAGAATCAACAGGCACGGAAGCAAACACATGAGACAGGAACAAGTGTGTAAAACCTGTTTGGCATATCGCATTCCATTTCCCATCAGATCTTCCATGGCAGCTCTCCATATACGCTCTCCTCTGAACTGAAGCTGTGCAGCCTGAAACACTACGAGTTTAAAAACCGGATCTTTTGGGGACAGGAGGGATATGATATGAATACAATCGGAACCAAAAACTGGGAAGAACAGAAGCAGGGGGAAAAGATTGTTTACATTTTCAATGACGCCAAGTTTTGTATCAGTTCCAAAGTTTTGATCTTTTGAATGGAAAATGTGAAGCCCATGATTCAACTTTGAAAACTAGCTAAAGATGATTATGAAACTTACAGTTCTAAGGTCAAGAAAACATCTATCTTCTAAAGTTAAGGTGACTAAAATACATCCATGGTTGATGGCTTTTATGATCTTTATATATAAAGCTGTATGCATGATGACAAGAAACTGTTAAAACCTGATTCTGGCTATCCCCGCTGAAGGAAGCACCATCGCAGTAACGTAGTTTTACTCTGTTCCAGTTGAAAAAATCTGAAGAAAGACAAAACAAAGACCGACTAAATGTAAGCTTTCCGACATTACAGAACACTGAAGATCTGAACAGAAGTTGAAACTTTGAGACATGACTTGGATTTTCTTGAGCTTTATCACTCAAAATCCCTGAAAACTGTATCTGTTTCTCCATGTAAGTAGACGATCCACGTCGAGTCTTCTTCCTGTATACACAGTTCCTAATGTTGTTGCACCATCCTCCTCCCTGTCACGTTCAAATTAATCATATGAATGAGAATGTGAAATAGAATGAAAACAGAAAAAGAAGAAGAAGAAGCTATCCATCACTATGAACCTCCAATTGAATGAGCCAACTATTGGAGCCAGATCCATGACCACGGTGCAAGTGATATCCGGGCAATGTTCCATCCAAACAAACTGCAGATTTAGGACAGAAACAAGTAAGAATAGGCAAACTCTGTTTCATATCACTCACATTTCACCAGAGGGTAAAATCATATATATGGATTCATATGTATAAATTTCATTTCACGAGCATTTCAGCAGGGAGAAAAGGAACCCTGTTTTGAGTTTACATCCATGTATATGGATGGATTCATGTGTATAAATTCTTTACTATGCCTCAAACTGTAATCTGAAATAGAGCTAAATGATCAAATCAAAGGCTTGGAACACTTCATAGAAAATTTATTTCTACACATACTACTATACTAGGGTTACCCGGAAAAAGGAAAGGAACCAAATGGGCAAAAGAAAGAAACCAACTTTTTTTTTGTTTGCTTAAGAGACGGCAAAAGAGTGAAAGGAAAAACATTTAAATCTTGAAAAGGTAGTTGGAATGTATAAATGAAGAAAGAAAACCTCATTTGGACAATCTTTTCCTTTTCCATCTGACGCCATACATTAAGGCGAAAGCGATGAAAAAACTTCAGAAGGGTAATAACAGCGACGAGGGAGAGAGAGAGAGAGAGAGAGAGAGAGTACCGGCTCCTTTGGCACCAGCTCCTCTGATGAGAGTGAGTCCAACCATTAACGGATTGAAACTGGAGCTAAATTTGGAGGCTCCATACTCTAATTCCTCAATGCGATCCAGTTCTGTCACATTGAAATCTAAATACCCATTTGCCTGACTCCCCAAAACGAGCCCTGCCACGAACCCTACCCACAAAAGCTCCTTCATTTCTCTCTCTCTCTCTCTCCACAAACCCTGAAAGAAGAGAGAACAAAAACCCCAGAAGAGAAAAAAAGATCTCTGAGAAAGAAAGGAACAAACTTTAAGGCTTCTAAACAAACACCAGATCGAATGGGTTAAGAAAGAATCGATCTTTGTAGAAAAGGAATGACCTTTTCCCGTGATTTCCCCCCGTAAGTAATTAAAGAAGGAGCTTTTATGAGCTGAAGTGAGTGAGGAGAGGGAGTGGTGAACTGTGTAATTGCCGGGCCATTCAAAAAAGGTTCGTGGCTGTAAGCACGTTCCGTATCCTTTTTTTAAAAAAAAATATCCACTGCTATGTGACAAAGACATGTTCTGTCTGTTATCCTTTCCTAGATCTTAGATCATACCACTAAAATAATATTTTCTATTGTTTTTTTTTTTTACATTTGTATGTCTTAATGGACGTATGAATTGTCGAAAATATTAAATCAGTTTATTAATCTTTGTTATTTTAGGTGATAATCGAAAGGTCCGAATTTTAATAGTTAAATATTAATCTTAGTTATATTTAGATCAAAATAAAAAATATTAGTGTGCGTACCAAACCTTTGATGTCTCGGTTAGCACTAATATATAAATATAAATATAAATATAAATATATATATATAGAGAGAGAGAGAGATTGATTGGCGACAATTAAGGAGTGATTATGTAATGTCTAAGAAACCATATGATTTTTGTCGATTGCATTACTTCCTCTCTTACCCATTTGAATTCAAAACATTCCCGATGATTTGAAACACAACCCATTATAGTTTTGATTGGGTTTGAAGCATACGTACCACAAATTAAAATGTATCTCTTTCTTCTATATATATATATATATATATATACACGAACCGCATAAATATGCAAATTATTCATTCAAATGTCGGTGGATATTTTTTTAATAATGTCTCAATTTGCATCTCATATTTCTTATGATAATTAGGGTTTCTAACAAATAAATTATTGGTTGGCGAGATTACACTAGATTATATATATAATGACTCATGAAATCACATGGACCGTTGGTTATAGGAGCAGAAAAACGTGTTACGCCTCACAAACACCCAACCCCATGTCGGCCTCGTCCTTGTCGTCCACTCATCTGGGTCCGGTCGAAAACTAAGACTTTCCACTATTTTCTATTTGAAGTACTAATTTTCATATTATTCACATAAAAACCCCAAACTTTTTTCTTTTTCATGGATACAAATGTGAAAGCACTCTTACGGCATATACTCAAAAAAGATTTATGGTTAAGTTTTAGAATCAATTCTTCATATAAAAACAGTGTTAATATATGTTATTTATGCGTTCTAAATTGCTTAAGGTGATCTCATGCGAAAAGGTTGTAAATGTAAGAAAAAAAAGTTAAGGGTTAACACTGCAAGCGTATCAAAAGATTGTGAAGGTGGTGGCATTTGTTAGTATTCCCTCGTCGTCATTTGTCAACTTGGACTCGCCCAATTAAATATCCTAAAATCTCTACAAAAATCTTGCGGTGTGTTTTTATTTAAATCACGTGCCACCACCGTTCCGTACTCGGTATTCTTCTCTCCCATGATTCTCATGCACCGACATCACATAATGTAACATACATACATACATACATACATACATACATTTTAGTGGATATCCTAAGAAGAAGAAGACAACAAATTTCCGAATATTTTTAATACGCGAAATTTCAATCCTCATTTGCTAAAAAATCCCTCCTCGAGTCTTTATTGAGATATCCAGTCATTCAAATAAAATGCCAACCATGCTACAGAAAATTACAAACTATGAAAATGAAAAACAATTTATATGAATATACGATCAGACAGCGTGCCGTTTCTGTCCTATGGAAAATACTTCAAGCATTCCGAGAACGCCGTGCTCTCAACGGATGTGTAGGGCCCAATGGGCCTCCTCACATACAAGCCTTAAGTAATGTGCCATTTTGGGCTTAATGGGCCTACATCAAAACCGAAGCTTTTAAAACACACCACGTGTGGACATAAGATATAACCAGGCTATGTGGAAGAGGCGGGAAATATCATCCGCTTCCGGAGACATAACCGCGAAGACAGGCGTCTAACCCTTGCTATCTCTGCTTCGCCGTAATTCGCCATGGGTATCAAGGTATAGATTCTTTCCCTCGTAGCGAATCTTTCTACTTTGTTGTTGTTTTGATTCGTGAATTTGATTGGCTTCTGTTTTTGTTCGAAAAAATTGTGTCTTTTAGGGTTTAACGAAGCTTTTAGCGGACAATGCGCCAAAGGCCATGAAAGAGCTGAAATTCGAGAGCTATTTCGGTCGGAAAATCGCCATTGATGCTAGCATGAGCATTTACCAGTTCCTTGTGCGTTCCCCCTTTTCTCTTTGCTTCCCTGCTATTACGTATCTTTGTTACCTATGCCTTTGTTGCCCATTTAGATTAATTCTATTATGTGGGTCGCAGATTGTTGTGGGAAGAACCGGAACTGAAATGCTTACGAATGAGGCCGGTGAAGTTACTAGGTTATTTTTCTAATTTTCTCTGTCTCACCATTTCTAGCTTTCTGATCTCTATCGTATCCATGTTTATGTCTTTTGCTAGTTTTAACCTTTGTTTATTGTTTGATAAATGGCTAATATCTGAGTTTTTGTGTACTTTTGATACCTCAGCCACTTGCAAGGGATGTTTAATCGAACTATTCGCCTTCTCGAGGCTGGAATTAAGCCTGTGTAATGTTCTTCTCTTTTATTCTATTATCTTTCTCTTGATGTTATCATGATTCTTTCTTGTGCCGCAGAGTTGGTTCATTTCCCCTATTTTTATCTCCTTGATGAACCAAAATTTTGTTACAGCTATGTTTTTGACGGGCAACCTCCTGAGCTGAAAAAACAAGAACTAGCAAAACGGTATATTTGCTAGACTTGCTGGCATTTGGGCTGGTCGTTTGCTCTGCATGCTTGTTTGAGTCTTTCCTTACCATGTTTACTTTCTATATGCTTTTCGTTTAGTTACTCCAAGAGAGCTGATGCAACAGAAGACCTGAGCGCTGCAATTGAGGTTTTATTATTTTCCTTGCACATCGAGGGAGTGTATAAGTTATATACATTCTCATCATTATTTTGCCTTCGGAAGAATATAATTTTAGAAGCTTTTGTACGCTGATGCAGGTGGGAAACAAGGAGGACATTGAGAAGTATAGTAAACGAACTGTGAAGGTAGTCTCATTTTCCATCCATGAATTTCTGGACTTGCTGATCTACCGGTTCATTTTTGTTTGTTTCAACCTATTCAAAGCAATTGAAGCTAGACTTCTTGATGCCAATGATCTTTCACTTTCCAGGTGACAAAGCAGCACAATGAAGACTGTAAGAAACTTTTAAGGCTCATGGGGGTGCCGGTTGTCGAGGTACTTATCTGCTTAGAACTTGGATTCCCACAATTAGTTTTATCTTCCTCTGGTTAAGTTTAAATGGTTTGCTTTTCAAAGGCAAAACTGATAACTTTCCATCTATAGGCCCCTTCTGAAGCAGAAGCACAATGTGCTGCACTTTGCAAAGCAGGAAAGGTCTGTATCCTTTTTCCCCTTTGCTTTCTCGGTTTGTTATGAGAAGACTGATACTCTTGTTTGTAGTAAGATGCCAGTGGACACATTGTTTTGAGGTATATAAATTGCATTGTTTCCTTATGATGGGATTTGTCTGATTAGGTGTATGCTGTGGCTTCTGAAGATATGGATTCCTTGACTTTTGGAGCTCCGAGGTTTCTTCGCCACCTGATGGATCCAAGCTCCAGAAAGATTCCTGTCATGGAATTTGAAACTGCTAAGGTTTTTCTCTTAATAAGAGTTACTCCAACTTCTTGGTTAACTTAGCTATCTTACCTCATGATTTCGTTTCAGATTTTAGAAGAGCTTCAACTTACCATGGATCAGTTCATCGACTTGTGCATTCTGTCAGGATGTGATTATTGTGACAGCATCCGAGGTATAGGAAGGTTTCGTTTTTGTAACTTGAATTTCCTTATCACATTACATATTTCAGTTGCATGTCATTGATGAAATGTCTTTTTCTTCTCCTATTTCCTTCGTAATCTGGGGCACGCTTTGACAATAAATGTGCATTTTTATGCCATAGGTATAGGAGGGCAGACTGCCTTGAAGCTGATCCGCCAACATGGATCTATTGAGAATATAGTGGAAAATATCAACAAAGACAGGTTTTAATTCTACATTGTATCTTTAACTTTGGCACATGAGGCATTAAATAGTAAATACTCTTGTGGTAAATCTGTCTCTGCAAATTTATGACTTTGAATCAATCAAGAAAAGCTCAAGGATATAACCTATGAATGTTGCCTAGTTTGATTGCACGTCATCATATCTTTGCTGTAGATACCACCCACCTTTTCTGCAATATGTAAGCATCATGAAATCTTAAAGTTTGTTTTCTCTGTCATTTCTCAATCAACATATAGTAAACCATCCCCACCTTGATTGAGCTCTATGTCTAATAGTCAGCGATACATTTGCCAAAGTTCCTTAAATATTCTTCATCATCTTGATATTGCACATAGGTATCATATACCTGATGATTGGCCATATGTAGAAGCGCGGCAGCTATTCAAAGAACCTAATGTTCTAATTGAGGAAGATCAACTTGATATCAAGTGGACGTCTCCGGATGAAGAGGTAGAAGCCTACTTGTATCCTTCCATTTGCTCTACATGTTTTTTCTGAATTCTTTGGGCCATTTACTTATTTGTTGACTTAATCTCTGTTAGGGTTTAGTTAACTTTCTAGTGAATGAAAATGGATTCAACATAGATAGAGTAACCAAGGTATGCCTCTTTATCCTCAATGCTGTACTTGTATACTTGCTTTTCTTCTGATAAATGCAATGGTTAATGTGATTTTGTTGTCTTGTAGGCCGTAGAAAAAATTAAATCTGCAAAGAACAAGTCATCTCAGGGCAGGTTTGCACCTCTGCAACTGATCAATGTTGATTTTAGTATGTACTGTGTTAATCCTCTCATGTCTTCGTTAAACGTTGTGCAGGCTAGAGTCATTTTTCAAGCCAGTTGCCAACACATCCACGCCTGCTAAGAGAAAGGTTTGATCCTTATGTTGTTAGATGGGCTTAACCTCCTTTCTTCGTTGCTTGTACATGATGTGTATATTAGTTGCTAATGCACTTAAGTATTTTAAGGGAAAAACAAGCTTAGTAGATTATGATTGAAAAAAATGCAATGCCCATATCCACTTGGTTCTTGAAACATGAATTTTCTTGAAGCTATTCTGCGTGAAACTTGCGATTGAAAATTCCTTCAACTCTTGTCATATTCCGTTAGCTGTGTTAGCAACTTTGGGTGAAATTTACACCAATAAGTCTTTGCGGTGTAAGAGAAAGATAAACTTTATATGCATGGTTGGATACTATAATTTCTCAATGCGCTGGATCACAGGAAACTAAATGCTTGCTCCAGCCATTTAAACCAGCTACCAAGGGTACACTGTTCGCTGTGCAAGATTCTGGTTTGAACACTCCCAATGTTGGCAGCTTTAGCCTGCGGTCTCTTGTCCCGGGTTCTAATCTTTCTGTTCAAATGGCTGGAGCTGGCTTAGGCAGAGGAATATGAATATCATGGTGAACATTCATAGCCATTCTGCCAACTTTTCCATGACTTCACGAGTTTTTGCGAGGGACGTGAATTTAACTTGTTGCTTGTGATATTCGTGCATAGACATGAACAGTATACATGGCTTAGAAGCTTCCATCCGGAGATTTTTCAGTTGAAAAAACCCATTTGATTTGTGCTTCACGTGGTATGCCGACATTAATTTGAATTCAGTTCGTATAATTTTGTCTTTTTGTTTACAGGAAAACCCGGAGGGTAATGCTAAAAAAGCTTCAGATAAAAAGACAAAGGCAAGTGGCGGGAAGAAAAAGAAGTAAATTGTCCTCCAAATTGCAGAGTTTGGTTCTGTCAACCGACAGTAAGAGGGATGCAGTAACTTAGTATGTTTTCCTGATGTGAACATGTGAATAAGTTGCCGAAGCACCATGACGTTAGTAGGCTTTTAGTTTCTGTTTTCCCCTGTTCCGTAGATTGGACTCAGTAACGGCTTTCTCAATGGTAGACAATTAGTTAGGTTGGACACCAGTTCTCTTGGAACAGCTTCCTAGTTTTCTTGCCATTGCGATGGTATGTATGTTCATGAATTGCCAATGTGATTGCTTTTGGTTTCGGTATATCGAAACTGGGAGGAAAAGCTTGTGCCTTTTTATCAAATTCTCTCTTCTTTAACGATATTAGGATTTGGGGAAGAAAACATGTTACAGGCACCGATAACTGACATCACCATTGATCAATCACTACCATATTCAGACCAAAGACATGGACTACACATGAAGGGGGTTATGGAGCGACAAGAAGACAACAACTGGGAGGTAAATGCCCAGAGACTAGGAACAGAAGATTACAGTTTCAAACAATGGTGCAGCCACTGCCGGTGTCATAGGTATTGACGGTCACAAATTCGCAGCTGTTGCAGTAAGGAGGGAGAGGCTTGCACTTGCACTCGATCTTGTTGGGTTCGGGCTTAGGTTGAGGCTTGGGTTCGGGAGGCTTTGGCGGTCCAATGGTGACGATAACCGGCTTCTGTTTGATCTTCTTTAGCCGCATGGCCACACAGACTGGATCCATTGTTCCAACCACTGTGAGTATGCTCTTCTCTACATCCAATGCCACCTTATCAACACCTGCACATATACGGAATGTATTTATTATGTCAGAAGCAGAGGAAAGTTCTATCAGAATGTTACTTTCTGGTACCTTGGAGCTCTGTTACAGCATCCATGACCGCTGTCTTGCATTTCTCGCAGTTGATGTCGACCTTGACCTCGATGACTTTCTGCTCAAGAAAAAGAAAATAAGAACCCGAGAAGAGGATGAACGAAATGGGATGGTATATCACAGCTGGGATTGTGAAAGGGTGTTTGATAGAGTTTTTACCTTAGTGGCCATGGTGGAGTTTTTGGAAATGGAGCTGTCAATGGGAATGAGAGAAGAATGAGAGATTGGGGGAAGTGGGAATAATAAAAACATGTGATTTTAGGACAAAGACGAGAGATGACAGATGAGAATAATGTGTTGAAGCAGTTGGAAGGGGGTTGTCTCTTGTGCTCGATCGTTGTTCTTCATTATTAGTTTCTTCACTGTTCACTTTGGGAATTACATAATACGACTTGGCTTTGATCCATGTCCTTTTCAAACCCACGACCGATCCAACACTATCTCCACTCATGATTTCGTTTTCTGATTATTAAAAATGTTTTTTTTTTATGGAATATATAAATAAGTTATAAGGCCGTCCATGGAACATGCATACGGCCTTACCAAACCAAACCCACGATATTTATTTTTTTTAATTTTTTTTTTTAATTCAGAGAGTTCGAATCAAATCAGATAATGTAATTGAATCTTACTAATTTATTTAAATTAAATTAAAAAGTTTTATATATACATAACTTTTTCATGAAAACGGTTAATTAAATTCAAATATAAATATTAATTTGTTTTATTTCTTAAAAGAATTAATCCAGCAATAATCAGCACTAGATCCCAAACTTGAAAGTGAGGCTAGAGATATGATATGCCAAGTTGGTTTGGTGGTCAACATCATCATATATAGGGGCTAGAAATTAGGGATATCGTGAACAGGGGATATTGTCTTGATGAATTTCTTTAATCGCATACTTGGTTTTTAATACTTAATTTAGTTGCGTATTCGTTGGATTGTACTTGTTTATAATAATAATAATAATAATAATGATAATAATAATACAAAAGAGGTGGAATCAAGTATAGATGCGAAGGTTCTACTTACCAGTAAAGATGCGTGAATTTCCAATTTTACCCTTTTAGAGAAATGGAAAATTATTATCATACACGGGCCATCTCCATACAGATAAAATGTCTTTTAAAAAAAATCCTACACATATTTTCAGTTAACTTGAGGGGACATAGAGGATTAATACTAATATTATTAGGCTTAAACGATCATTTTCTACGACTTTAGTTTAAATATTTCGATTTTCCATTATTCACTTTGTGTTTCAAAACAAACAGATTACGTGGAAGATTGCGAATCAAGAAAATCGAATGCAACATGCGCATAAGATTGAAATAAACGAAAGATAAATGATTAGAGAGAACACAATCGTGACAAACTATATTTATCAATTATAAGTTTGGTGGATTAGAGAGGTTACACTTTTTTTTTTCAAACAATGGTGCAGCCGCTGCCACTGTCGGGGGGTGTAAAGGGCACAATGTCACAAGTGGTGCAGCATGGCGGGGGGGGGGTTTTGTTCTCGGGCTCCTTCTTTGGTTCGGGTGGCTTGGGCGGTCCGACCGTCACTATAACCGGTTTCTGCTTAATCCTTTCCAGTTGTCCGGCCACACATAACGGATCCATTGTCCCTACCACTGTAAGAAGACTCTTCTCGACGTCCAACGAGACCTGGTTCACGCCTGCATGCAAAACCCAACGTAACCTTTATATATATATGGACATGCATGTGGTGGGTTATAAGGTATATGAATATATGGGTTTCTATAATTCTACGTGAACGGTTCTTCTATGGGTTTCTATATATATATATATAGTTCTTACCTTGGAGCACTGTGACAGTTTCCATAACTGCGGTTTTGCATTTCTGGCAGTTGATATCAATCTTGATCTCGACTTTCTGTTCAATTACCCAACAAAAAAGAAGAACGATTTGAAACATGAGGGGAGAAAAAAAAAGAGAGAGAGGGGGGTTTTGTGTTGGGGACGAGGAAACAAGAACAAAGTCTATACGAGGATGTTTTTTGTTTTACCTTTGCCGCCATTAAAGTCTAACGTGGAGGAGAAATGAAATGGAGTTTCGAGAGCCGTATAATATAAAGGTGCAGTGCAGAGACAAGAGATTACAGATTGGAATCAATGTCTTCTTGTGCTAAACAGAGTTTTCCTTTTTATATATTATTGGGATCCAATGGTCACTCAGGAGTTAATAAAATAAAACGACTTGACTTCGATAAAGATCACTTCTCTATACGACCATTAAATCCATATACATATATATATATATATTGCAATTTACAGTATATATTAAACCCACTTCCAAAAACCTATGGTAAAGTTGGTAGTCGATCCATATCATCCAATGGACTCCACTTGGGACATTATATTAAGCTTTGATTAATCCGACAATTGACAATTAATTTATGTTTATTTCCCTAATTGAATCGGGTTTTTTTTTTTCTGTAAAGAGGGTTCGAAATCAACAATAGCACTTTTTGCTTTCATTTTACCGTTCTGCCACCATTTGGACAATTATTTTTTTATATATATATCTGCAACAAATATTTTATTGTAATATTTATATTGCAACTGATGAGCTGTGTGTTTTTTTATTAATGGGAATTAAAGAAATGGGACGGCCACAAAAGATTTGGAAAAGTGAGATGCGGAAGGATACGGGCTGAGTAGTTTAGGGTTGTATGATGATGCAACTTATGAGAGGTTGAATCAAAATGACATTGTTTAAGGATTCTTAATTAGTGGGCAGATTTTCTTGTTAAATATATGGATGAATCCCATAAAACCCTTCAGTTTTAATATTAATATATTAACTTTAATATTTTTAATAATAAAATACCAACTACGAAAAAAAACTTTGAAACAAAACTTGAGCTTTTTAGATTTGAACTGATCGAGATACGAATGTTAACATTCGACATCGAAATTTGATGTGATTAAACAGAAATATGATAAAATATTCTTATTAAAGACCATATATTTCAGTGATATATCAACTAATATGACGATATCAACTCTATATCACTAATACATTATAAAAAAATATAAAATTGATTGATGTGATATTAATGGACGCCGTATAGTATTTTCATCAGCTAAAATAGTGTATATAGTTTTATCAGAAAATTATTCTCATTTGATATATTATTATTGTGCAAAAAAACAAAACGCATATATTAATTAAGAATAAATTAACGAGTTGAAGGATTTTTTTTATGTGACCATCCCCTTAAACATTTGATTTCTTTTATTTTAAAAAAATTATAATCTAACATATAACTTAATCACACAATAATTGCTAGAAATAAGATTAAGGAGGGAGAGAGATGAATAAAGAAAAACAGAGTTAGGTTTTTTAATGATTCCAAGTTTGGTGATTTAGGCTTAACTCCCAAAGTTATTTTTGGTGAATCTCTTCATGTGTAGCCTTTGCCTTAACCGTTGGCTCTTAACAAAAAAAACCAGAAACACCCATCTCTTTCCTTTTTTAGGGTTTCAGAGATCTAACTCTATCTTCCCCCATCACAGATTCACGCCATTTTATAAAGCCCCTCTTCCCATTTCATTCTCTTCATTCTCTTTCTCATCCTTTTCCTCTTCTCTTCTCACCTCCAAAGCTCGGGTTATCGCAACAATGGCGTCTTCTGCTCGTCTCTTTGCCGCAATCTTTGCCTTGGCCCTGACCTCCGCCATTGCAGACAGCGACATGCTCCAAGACGTTTGCGTCGCCGACTTATCCAGTGGTATTTACCCTTCTCGTGATTTCTTGTCTAAATCATAAGTTTATGAACCTTCTTACCGACTTGCACTGTTTTTTGGGCCAATGCAAAAAAAAAAAAAACAGGGGTTAAGGTGAATGGATACACCTGTACGGACCCGACAAAAGTAACTCCCGACCACTTCTTCTCCCGTGGCTTGGCCACCGCCGGCAACACCAACACCTCCCCCACCGGTTCGGTGGTGACCGGAGCCAATGTCGAGAAAATCCCCGGCCTCAACACATTGGGAGTTTCCATGTCTCGTATCGACATAGCCCCCGGCGGCATCAACCCTCCTCACATCCACCCACGAGCCACCGAGATCATCTTCGTCCTCGAAGGTCAGCTCAACGTCGGCTTCCTCACCACCGCCGGGAAACTCGTCTCAAAAACCCTAGAAAAGGGGGATGTTTACGTGTTCCCCAAGGCACTCATCCATTTCCAGCACAATGTCGGGAAAGGCCCAGCCTCTGCGATCGCTGCTTTCAACAGCCAGCTTCCCGGGACGCAGTCCATCGCGTCCACGCTCTTCGGTTCCACACCTGCAATCCCCGACAGTGTTCTGTCCAAGGCGTTTAAGATGTCACATAAACAGGTTAACAAGATCAAGTCTGGTTTCCAACCCAAGATATGAGTGGGGATGCCCTCATGTTTCTTTCTCTGTTCTGTTCCAGTTCAAGTTAAAAAAAAAATACTTGCTTTTCTTAAAATCATCCTATTATAAACCAAAAAGACACATCACAAGTTCAAATAAACATCATCAGAATGGGCCGTTCTAAATATTTCGTAGTAACGGAAACAAATAAACATCATCACTTCGCCAATGTCTGTTGCCGGCCATCTGGAATGGCAAACAACACAATTGGCTTCGCCGATTTAACGAAAGGCGCATCGCATCTGAAGTAGCCCTTCCTCTCAAGCTGCAGCACATCGCCCTGTTTCAGATTCCTCATATTGGAATCGCCGAGTGCCGCTGTCTCCTTTTTTGTGCACGGATTCACCACGTCGACAAAATCCTCTCCTTCGTCCAGCTGTTCACCACTCGAAATAATCAGTGATTTCCAGCCATCGACAATGGAAGAACACAGATTCTTATCTTAAGCATAGTTTGAGTTCATATCAATATAATATATGAGTTAGAGAAGAGCCCATCAGGATCCTACCTTCTTCTTGGTGATTAAATAGTCAAACTCCATTAGTGAGAGGTTAACCAATTCATTGCAGTCAGCAAGCCACGTGAGCTTCAGCTTTGTAGTCTTGACAGATCCTTCGAGATGGAGAACGCCGGTTAACGCTATGACATGCCCATCATCGTCCTTGGTGATTTCCTTCACTATAGCATTTCCCCAGTCCATCAGAGTTACTTCTTCGTTCACTGAGATTGCCATGGCATCGGCTTGCTCGATCCAAATCTTCTTACTGTATTTGGTAGCCTTTTCTCCAGCCCCTTCGTACTTCTTGTGCCTCGGTAATATACGGACAAAGGGTTCATCAGGCCCATCCGTCAATGTCAACAACACACGTCGCTCTTCGACCACAGCGGTATGCCTGGGGCAGACTGGATCTATTATTTTCTTGTTAATAGACCACAACTTGTCCCACTCCATTAAGTTTAGATTCTTCGATGCCCCCTGAAACATATGGAAATGGAATTATAGTACACATGAAATCCAATGAATCTGAAAACAGTGAATGAAGAGGAGATGGCAAAAGAAAGATATGAAAGAGTCTTACCTGCTCAAGAATGAACTGAATCAGTGCCTCGATCTTCAAACCCCTACGGACAATTCCTTGAACAGTTGGAAAACGGGGATCATCCCATCCATCGACCTTGCCATTTTGGACAAACCAGAGAAGCTTGCGCTTGCTTAGAAGAGTATACACCAAATTTAACCTGCTAAATTCATAAATTTGGACTTTTCGCAGGCCCATGTCCTCTAGAACTCTGTAATACTGCGCGTTACGGTCATGATACTCACTAGACCGAAGGGCATGCGTAATACCTTCTATAGAATCAACGAATGGGCAAGCAAAATCGTAGGTAGGGTATATCTTATATTTAGACCCAATACGGTGGTGAGGAATAGGATTGCACCGGTAGTAGACTGGATCCCGGAGAGATTTGTTAGGGTCTTGCATATCTAGTTTCCCACGAACACAACATTGTAAACCTCTCTCAGTTCCCTCAATCATCTCCTTCCAGAGCTTCAAATTCTCCTCAACACTGTTATTCCTACATCTTGATTCAATGCCATCCATTCTCTCTTTCTGCATCTGTTCTCGAGGAGTGTCATCAACATAGGCCTTACCTTCACGGATCAACTTTTCGGCCATTGCCATCAAATCGGGAAAATAATCTGAGGTGTATGTCACAATCTCGTACTTAATACCCAGAGTCTCGATATCCTTCAGAAGATTCTCAACAAACTCGTTGCTTTCTTTTGCAGGATTGGTATCATCAAACCGCACAATCACCTGACCTTGGTAACGCTCAGCAAAATACTTGTTTAGCAGTGCTGCCTTGGAGTGACCAATGTGAAGATAGCCGCTTGGCTCTGGAGCAAACCGAAGTCGAACCTTTCCAACTTCAGCATCAGGCAGATCAACTTCGTTTGAGGTACGGGTGCTTGGCTTTCCCTTATCTAAACCATCTGCATTCACAGGTTGTTGCACTTTGGGCTTAGCCGCCGCTGCTGCCTTTCCTGAGCCTTTTTTCACAAGGTATCTTGAAAGGATCTCGTTGAGGGAATCACTGTACTCGTCCAATATCGAATTAAACCACCTAACCAAGTTCTGATACTTTTTCGATTTCCTCAAACTTTCCCATCTTAGGCCAGTTCCTGCCATGCACAGAGGATTCATTAGGTCATTGAATATTTGTAACATCTCAACTCAAAACATAGAAATGCACTTCAATTTAAACTTTTGCTCATTTCACTACCCAAGAAAAGCTTAACACCAAATGGACAGCAAAGAGAGAGCCTTTCATGGTGTTTTCTCCACGAGCTGAAGATAGACAGACAAAGGGCAAAAGAAAGTCAATGAAATTACCGGCAAGAGCTGACCAAATAGCAACATCAGCAATGGAAAGAGAATGCCCGACGAGAAAAGAACGACTCTCAAGGTACTTGTCGACGCGACTGCAGGCACTCTCAAACTCCGAACCAGATGAGAATACAGGCGTGTAATCTACCCACTCATCAATCTGCACACGGCCCAAAAACAAACAAATAATTCAGAAACACACACAACACAGGATTCGGAGAACGACCTTAGATCGAAAGTTGAACAATGAATCAAAACCTGGGCAGCCTCAAAGCCATCATTTCCGTAGAAACTGGGAATGGTCTTGGCAGATCGACCAATGTAACGCAGTAAAACAGACGTCCCACTCAATTTGCGCCTAAACCAGCAATTGGACGAAAAAGGGTTTATTTAGATTCAGAGAAGAGAGGAAGATGGAATGAGAGAAGAGAAGAGAGTACCCGTCGGAGAAGACGAAGGTAGGAACGGTGACGGCAGATGAGGCATCGGAGGTTACCGGAGAAGCTGAGAGAGAGACAGCCACGATAACAGAAAGCGGAGGGCTTTCAGCTGGAAACGAGAGCTTTACTCCTTCCATTGCCTGATTTCACCGAAACGGATCTGACCCAAGAAGACAAAACGAAAACACACAAGAAACGTGAAGAGATTGAGCAAACGCAATATGCAAAGGCGTCTCTTTCTCTCTGGATATAAATATCGGTCGAGAGAGAGAGTGCGCGTAGATGGTCAGAAACAGGAGAAGGAATCAGCGGCCACAATGTCCAAAACTAATCAACGACCGGTTGAGGGCTTTAGGGTTTAAAATTCCATTGTCTCTATATATATATATTATATATCATGCCAAATGATATTCCCCTCAAAATAATATTTGACACATCGACTGGTTCTATTAAGATATAGACGAGCAGTTCTATTCAATTTTTTTGGTTACCTTTAATTCAGATTCGAGAGTTATTTTTTCCACTCGAGTGTTTATGACCAACACGTTATTTAATTTTAATCGAATCAGTTGAATTAGGTTTAATTATGTCTAATTGGTTATTTGATTTTAACACAACAATAAACAACCAATATATATAATCCCCCATTTCAAAATATTTTATTTTTAAGACACTTTTTTACAATAGTTTCCAATTTTATCTCTATCAAATTCCAATAAATTATTAATGATAACATTATTTTATCATTAAATAAGAATATATGTGACTTTTTCTCTCTTTTTTTAAATTTTTTTTAAAAAAATGTGAAATAATCTAAAACAACAATTGTGTTTTGAAATGGAGAGAGTAATACATAAAAAAACAAAGTCGACATAAATTTCCACCCGTGTCCATATCATCTACAAAAACGACATGAACTAAAAAAACAGAGATCGTGGCAATGTTCTAAATCAGAGAAATTCTGCAGCTCCAATGTTTATGATATGTTCTAATTGGGGAATTTTACAACGTTTCGGGTTGAACATAACTAATTAGTATTTGAAAAGCAGCGACCATATGGGAGACTCGGAGCACAGCTAACACAACGCATCCAAGCAAAACTCGGCCAATCACACACATAACAGTAACACTGTCACTACATTCCACACAAAACCGCAATGTAGATTTCAAACTAGGGGTGTCAAAATCGTCGGGACAACGGGCTTTTGTACGTGTTCGGACAGGATTTCGGACTTCTTGAACATTCGGGGGAAAAAACTAAACTATAAAAACACAAGTAAAAGATCAGCAAAATACAAAAAAAGAGTCAAATCCTTGAGATCAAAAAACACGATCATACAAACAAACAAAGACAATCCAATCCATGCAGGAGAAACGTCGAAACCCGGGTGACTACTAGGAAAAGAAAGAACCAGCGGGTAAACGGTAAAAATGCCCACCCACCCCTGTATCATACATTATCATCAGCACAAAACTCGGCTAATCTTTGCAAAGCAGAGTCCAACACAATAAGAACATCACACATTATCGTTGGAGATGTAAGAATTACTACCACAGATGCTATTCGGACCGAACCGAATCCTAGACATGGGACATAGACGGTTAAGTTATATGATAACTATGTCTATTCTTTTCTCCTTGGCATGACGACCAATATATGTAAATAACGCAATCTCGAATATGAGAGCAAACAAGATTCATGAGATGTCAATGTGTTACATCCAAAACAAACACAAATGCATTTTGCAGACTCTGAATCAATGGCATCCCCTTTATCCAATTCATCGGATGACAGATGCATACAGCGGCAAACATGGTGAACGACTAAGATTCAACAATGTCTTGGAAAGATTCCGACACAAACAGGAAGAACATTTAGTAGGTTTCAGATTCTAAATCTTTGCCACCGAAGCTAATAAGTTCATATTCTGCAATCTTGAAACCCCAAAACCATTCTATCCCTTAACACAACGAAAACAATCGAAACCATAGACAAGATCGACTATACACAGATTCAGATCCACCCAAGGACGAAGAAACGGCAGGACAAAAAATAAACCGAGTCACCAGATAAACACGCAACATATAACCGAAGAACACGGAACATTGAATATAGACAACGGAAGTGGAGCGAAAGAAGACATACCCAGAGCCGACGGTTAGAGAGAGAGAGAGAGGGAGATCGGCGAAACCCTAAGTCAAAAATCAGAGAAAAATAGAGAGACGGAGAGACCTAAAAGAACCAACGATGCGAGAGACAGGGACAGAGCGAAACCTGCGGCGCGACCGACAATGTCCGAATCGATGTCTGATGTGGTGGAAGAGAGGCAGCGAGGCGGAGGAGCCGGCAATGGCGAAGCAGTGAGTGCGGACGGCGCCGGCAGAGGGAGTGAGTCTTGTAGATCGATTCGAGGGTTTGCAAATTAAAAAAAAAAAAAAAAAGTCAACGAAACTGAAGGGTGCTAAGTCTCAGTTCTGTCTTTTGGGAAGAAAAAAATCAGCCCAGGGGTAAAATTGTAATTACTCAACCGAATTTAAATCCGATTTCCGGATTTTCCATATGAATATCCGATCTCATGTCACTCTAATTCAGTATCCGATATATATATATATATACACACAAAACAACGGAAAAGAGCCAAAGCCAAACCGATTCTTAAGAAAACGCGAAATGCAAACCGGTTTTTTTATTAGTTTTTTTGACAGTGTGGTATATATATATATATATATACCATTTCAAAAAAAAAGTTTATATTGAATTAATCCACGTAAAGTATAATTTACCAATTAATACAACAGAGCTTCAGCCCTTCAAAAGACAAGGTACCAGGTTCGAACATTGTAACGTCTAGAACATGTCTGTGTCTGTACACAAAAACACAAACACCCACTAGACGCAAAACCCAAATGCCTTGAAGCTGTTTCCGACAGATACACACACACATGTAATATATTTACATCCACATCAGCATCATCATCATCATCATGGTCATCATCATCAGAAGAAGGTGTTCAATGGAGAAAAAGGTCACTGAAACCGCCTTTGGAGGCTAAGCCGACGACACACAACATGTAAAAAACCTTCCCACTCTTCACCTTCTTCGCTTTCACGATGGCTTTCCCTTTCTCTGCCTTTGCCTTCGTCACTATTCTACGCATCTCTCTTCCTCTCTCTCTCTCCTCTTCCTCCGGCTCCTCCTCTATCGTCTCTAACCTCCCCCTCAGTATCTCCTCTATGTCTTTCTTCGATTCACATATCACCATATTCTACACCCAACCAAAAAAAAAAACCATACACTATATCTCAAACGGTCCAAAATTCCAAATTATGCTTATTTTTTTTTCGGCATACGTACCTCGTGGTTACGGTGTAAGTTTCTCTTGGCCCTACGGTTCACCCCCCACCACATCTTCCTCTGTACCAATCTCCTCATATGTTCAAACAAAAAAAACGTGTTTCTCTCTCAGTTGTCTGATTTTGCAGCTTTGTTACTCCGCCATTGATGAGGACCTTAAAGCTACGACGGTTTTTCCTTTACACCTACAACGACCCTTTTATTTATTTCTCTCAAAGTGTCGTAAAGTTTCCTCCTTTACAACCAATTCCCTTCCTATATGTCATTTTGTTTATTGCCTCACTCTTACATTTTTATGTGTTGTTTCTCATCATAGGAAATGGAAAGTAGTCATCACGTCTCCACATTCTATTTTTTTTTAAAAAGCTTTCATGTTCTGGAAAGTGCACTTTTGTAGTTATGATTATGTGTGTGTGTGTGTATGTATATATATATATATATATTCTTGCCTTTTTCTTGAGTTGTAACTTTTTTTCAGTCACGTTTGATCTGCTATCCACTCTACCAATACAAGACTTTTGGGTTGGTTATCATGTAGGGTTTGTGGGGCTCTTATGATACATATAGGATATTGTAAGATACATTTTGTGATGCTTAATTTAGATATATGATTATAAATTTGGTGTCGCGCGTATATGCTCTTACAGCATATGAATTCGATTCGTTGTAACAAACCGAGCATATTTAAAGTTCATAATCGTCTCTAACCAACTGAAACTTGAATTTGGTTGGCGGATTGACGTGAAACCGGTCACAAGATCTTAATCTCTATATATTCTGTTTGCTCCAAGAACCATAAAAAGAGCATTTTCTTTTTCTTCTTTGAACCCAAAACCATTACAATTACCAGAAAATCATATGACCTAAATGCATTTTATATCTTTTCTCTCTGATTCCTCCTATGAAACCCACATAAGCTAAGCTTTTGTAAAGCTGTTTCTTAACAACCGTGGCATATAGAGTTCAACACAACAGGAAAACTCCCCCGTTGAGCAGAGAGGATGAGATTTTGTTGGATATAAACCTTCCTTGATCATTTGGTCCACAATGCTAAGAATCCTTCCGGGCAACATTGTCGAGGGCCTTGAGAACGAGCCTTCTTGGACGGTAAAGTCGAACCCGTTTTGGCCGGCCGTCGAGTTTCTTGGCCGACAAGTTATGTCTTTTACGGCTCGTCCCCTTCTCATTGGTCAGCTTCGGGTAGCGAGATCTTGAGCGGCATCTACCAACAATTAATCCGCAGCATCTGTGTTAAGTACCGGTCTTTGTCGGAAGGACAGTGAGAAGTGTTACGCTATGGATTGGAAGAAGTTAGCATACGAGATTCAGAGCATACAGAATGAGAGTGAATAAAATAAGTGTTATTTGATCTTTTAAAGCTTTTACAAAACAAACAAAAAAACTCAAGGCAGAGAATATGTCTGAAGAGTGTTTGACTCGTTTGGTGATGTCGAAGCATACTATTATTATTATTATTATTATTAGTATTATAAACCTTGGAATCATATGAAATGGTGGAGTTATAGTTAGACCGCATAAGCGGATGCCATGCATGTGACTTCTGTCTGGCTATGGTTTGTGACGAAAAGGATGAATCTTTTCTACCAATAATTAATTTTGATTATTTAAATTGAAAATAGGAATATTGGGTGGTATGTGAAATGATTGCTATCGTGCTTTTTTCTCCATTTAAAATAATAAATTTGTGAAGGGAATTAACACAAAGAGACAAAGGTCCAAGATGCCGAAGGTACGAGCAAATGGGTTTCACTCGCTGTGATGCATTACGAGTGTGAATATCAGGCGCGTGCCAGAAACACGCAATCTGTGCGCGTGCGCTGTCTTTTGACTGCGCGTGATTTTTTGTACATGAAGGGGAGGCCCATTGCCACCGGAGGCGTTGACAGTTCGGGCCACCTACTAAAATAGTATTTAATAATTCATTATTCCATTGACCCACCAGAGATTTATGAAAGGGGCCCCATGTAGGCCCAATAATGGCCCATTAAAGGCCTTAAACAAGCAACAACGCCGCCTTTCCTCGGTCTCACTTCTCCTCCTGCCCTGCACCATAAGTGGCTAAATACCAAGAACACATAGAATCCATGATATACATATATGTATATGTGTGTGTATATATACATATACATATATAAGGAATGCGTCTGATCTGAGACAAGATGATTCACAACCTGAAAAAAAAAATCAATCAAAGTTCTTTTTTCCTTTGTATCTACAAAGCATCACCAAGTAACAGGCTGAAAAGGAAAACACCAGTTGAGGGCTCATCATAAACCAACTACAATGCTTACAGCTACAAGAGCAAGGGGTAGGGATTTTGAACGGCTTTTTCTTTATCCATTTATCTCCATGTCCTAACAAAACACACCTCACCATCTTCAGAACTATGACCTATTTTCCACACCATCCCCTATTAGCCCTAACTCAAGTAACAATAGAGTGAGAGAACACATCCGTACCTGTTAATGGAGGCTTTCACATGCCTTTTCTCCTTCTATCTAGTTACACTTTCATTTGCAGAGGGGACCTTGCTCGGGTAGCTAGATATATCTATGTCAATGAGTGACATGTCATACATTGTGGCAAGAGATTCCGAGGAATCCATGAGCAAGGAAGATTTCATGGCATCGGGTCGTGCTGGATCAGAATTCGTGCTAGAACTTTTCGGTGTGCTTGTTCCTGAGGAGGAGTGGCTGGAGAGTGAAACACCATCTATCCTGTTTCCATAAACATGTTTCTGCTTTCTCACGGCATCCATCTCCTGTCCCGTCGGCACAAAAGTTCTTGACCGGTATTTCCTCGTCCCCTCATCGCCGTCGTTGTGATTATACAGCACGTAATCATGGTAAGTAGGGGCAAACTGTAAGAATGGCAAATCAACCATCAGGGCAGAATAATCATTTCTAAAAGAGAGTTCTTAAAAAACGCTTTAGTTACCTGGTGAACTGTATCATGGTAGAAGTCATTTAGTTTTACAGCATGTCCCAGGCTTCCCGTGAAACTGCGAGCACCACCAACATTGGCACCGGCATACTCCTTGTATGGAAATGCATAAAAATGACCGGCAGCAGCAATTAGCATCTCGACACATATTATAAAATTCTGGAAGACAGCTGCTTCCTCTTCATCCCTAATCAATCCAGATTTAGCAGCAAGAAAAACTAGAACACCCTGTAAAACGTAGAGAGTCATGAGACACAAGGAATATGTGGAGAACAGCAGAAGAGGGCAGCTGGTGACAAATTTTGATTCCAGTCATAGGAAAGAATGAACAGACTTACTTGCCAATAGGTCATAAAGACAACAGACTTTATTATCACAAACTTGGGGACCGGATTGAAGGGCTGAAGCAAATCTTTGCATGCCACGTAAAATAACACCAGTGCATACAGAGCCACAGTGTATGAAATGGTATAGATGATGGTGATATAGAGATATGCCTGATCAGGGCTAAAATTCCCATCCTTGTATTTCCCTTTTGCGTAGAGTACAAGTGTGACAGCAACTAGGATAGGCTTTAACATTACAAACTGCAGACAACCTTGCTTGCACCGTCGAATGAAACGCCTGCATCAAAAGATCATCATGACATATGAGCTTAGATATGTCAGCCACGAAATCATCCAAGGTTCAAATACAATATAAAAACAGAAAAATTCACAAAGATCAAGACATCTGGACCAAAATATTCACAATGCCTCCAACAAAACACATGGATTAAGTCAACAAACAATAGCCCCAGTGTCAAAGTTTCATCTCTAAAGATTGGTGGCATGGTTGTCAAGAATCTAAACAAGTTCAAAGATGTCTATGGTTTTGCGTGAGAAACAATATGGTAAAATGAAGGCTGCCCTGGGAATATACAGGAACGCTACGTGTAAATACAGCCATTCTCAAATAGGTTAGAGAGGCAGCTGAGCATTCTTGTTTCCAGATAATACAAATGGGTAACAACTTTCTTAGCAAAGATGTAATGCACATCTTTAAGAAGCACTAAGACGATGGTTTCATTTTGCAAACTAACCCGTCCAGTGGTAGTGGTGGGAAGCAACACGTCATGAGGCACCATGATGGCTTCAGCGAGCGGCCACTTAAACTTAAGACAACTGCTCCTGGGCCTCCAACCCATGCCAAACACAATGACAGGAAATTATAGATGACCCATGCTTCGTAACTGAAACAAGAGAAGGCCAGAAAGGATAAGATTATCAAATTTGTAAAGGAAACACTACGCAGGCTAGCACCATCGGACCTGCATTTCTACACAGAAAATTGTCTTATTGGTAATACTCTACAGACAAGCTCTTAGAACGATTCAAAAGAAGGAAACACAAAGGTGCAGTACTCTAAAAGTTCATTATCCCTACTCAGGTGTCAATAAGAAGCCAGTTTTAGTCCTAGACCGAGCGCGTCCCATGATTGACTGGCAGAATCAGAATGTCAGCTATACTCACACTTCTCGGATGGAATTGAAGTATATCGAGCTTCGGGGCAGCACAAGAGACAGGAAAGACATCAAGGCATAAACCTGCGAGTTGGAAGAACATCAATTATATGTCGGAGAAAGATCCAACGTTGAAAGATAGGAGTAATGAGATCAAAATGAAGAACTTTAGGTGACGCTAATACCCACCGGGACCATGAAGATGATTCTCACAATGAATCTCTGATAAGTGGGTTCTGTGTAATTCAAGAGGTGCCTATAAATGTGGAACATTGCCAAACCAATGGCTCCGACAGTGCATAGAAACGCAACGATATCGAGGTAAATGGGAACCATATCCCCCATTCTTCAAAGATAGAAAGAAAACAGACACAACGTCAAAATTGTGAAGGTTAATCAAACTCCAAAGCAAACAAACACCAAAGAAGCTACCGACACAAACCTGTACAGGAGATAAGAAGGATCTAGAAGAACTACAAATGCCTCCTGGTCCTGCGGAACGCTGCCAAGAGGATGAAGACCCAGGTTATGGCCAAAGCGGAGCAGGACCAACCGGAACAGGAACCCTAATTTTTGCGATGAATCGGGATGTGAACCTTGATTTAACTATCTGCTGGTGAAGTAGAGAATCTGGAAGAAAAAACGATCGATTTCACGAACCGAAGCAGTACAAAGGGGCAAATGAGCAAAGATCACGGAAAACCCGGAACTCAGAGACCCAGAATTCAGACATGATCCGTAAGAGAATCAACCGAACGCAATCGATGACGGGAACGTACCTCGAACGCGTGAGAAAAAAAAAAACTTAAGTAGGGAATCGAAGACCCTAGACAGATCAATCGGAATCGAGAAACCCTCGACAGGAATCTTCACACAGACACACTTTTCCAGGAATTCGTGAACGAGGGTTTAATCCCTTTCCGTGTTCTTGCTTGAAAATGATTTTTTTTTCTTTGGTGTGGATCAGTGGAATAGCAAAAGCGCCGTCAACAGGGAAGAAACGGAGAAAACAGAGAGGAGTTTTAAATTGATAAATGGCAATAATATTCAACGTCCATTCAATCCAGCCTGTGCAGTTCAACTTCAAACCCTATATTATTCTTATCTGCTCTTTTAAGTTTTTTAATGCTGTTTATATTTTATTTTCATGAATTTATTTATGTATAAATATATATTTAGAATTTCAATTACGCAATCTATACGTTAAATGATGGAAATGGATCTGACACTCAATTTGAAAGGTTGTAGTTTAAAACCCCTCGGACAGTAGCTTTGTTTGGTTTATAGAACCTTTCATGGTTATGTGTGATACACTTTTTTTTTTGGCTAAACATCGAGTTATTAATCTATTAGTTAATTACACCTTTTTTTTTATCGTAATAATCTAACATTCCAATTTTAGTGCGTCTGTTTGCTTATCCAAATCAACAAATTTATCCTGATTTTGCTGTTGTCGAGACGAATCATCACTTAATATAATTAAATCAGTAAAAAGACAAAAAAATTATTTTTTTAAAAAATGCTACAGATATTTTTTTTTCTTTTTCCTCTAAAAAAAAAATAAAACAAAAAAGGAAAAATTGGAAGGCTTATGATTATGGGCTGAGAAATAAAGTTCAAAGGCCCATAATGGTGAGGCCCATTTAAGATTTACAAAGCCTCTTCGTTGGAGATTTTAAAAAGATAGGGCGGTGCATAGAAATGAAGCGTGGAGGGTAGCATCAGCACACTCGCCTTATCTTCTCTCTCTCTCTCTCTCACCCTCCCCCTTCTTCCTCCTCCCTCCCCGGCACTCAGCCGGTGATTATCGGTAAAAATGGCGTCTTCCATTGGAGTTCCTTCTCTTTACCAGGTTCCTTACCTCGAAATCTCCAAGCCCAAGTCGAAGAAGACACCTTCCTGTTTAGTTTTCTCTCTGGACAGGCCCTTCTTCCGTTCCCTTCCTCTCAGGAGGCCATGCGTTAGCCTCTCATCTTCTTCTGTAATTCCTTCGGCCGTAGCCACTCCCAATTCCGTGCTCAGCGAGGAGGCTTTCAAAGGTCTTGGTCTCTCTGACGACGAGAATGCCCTCGACGAAGAGAACGGGGCCGTTCCTAGCTCAGATGAGCTCGCCATTTCTAAGCTTGGTTTGCCTGAGCGTCTTGCTGATTCTCTTGAGAAGCGGGGTATCACTCACCTCTTCCCTATTCAGGTATTTTTCCCGTTCCTTCGTATGGAAATATGCTCGACTTGAACTGGGGTCATGTTGTTTCCTTTCACGCCAATCTCTCCGGTGGAGTTCGATTGAAACTACGGGGCGTTTGCTTTCGCTCTTCTGTTTCATGGGTTTACTCATCGTATGCGGTTCTTGCGTGGTGGAGAGTTGTTTTTGCCTCCTGTACTATAAAGCTGATACATTGTACTTATGTTCCATGGATTTTGACATGGTGTCTGTTTGTGTTGTAGAGGGCTGTTCTGATTCCTGCTTTAGAAGGCCGAGACATCATAGCTCGTGCCAAGACTGGAACTGGTAAGACCTTAGCTTTCGGTATTCCAATCATCAAACGCCTCACTGAAGATGCTGTCGACCACTCTTCTTTCAGGTCTTTCTTCTTACATCAATGGCTTTCACTTGTCCTTTTCGTTCAGAATTTTCCATTTCGTTTAAATGTTTCCTTTTTTGCTTGTACAGGAGATCTGGTCGCCTGCCGAAACTTCTTGTCCTTGCACCTACTCGTGAACTGGCAAAGCAAGTAGAGAAGGAGATTAAAGAGTCTGCCCCCTATTTGAGCACAGTGTGTGTTTATGGTGGTGTTTCCTATAATACCCAGCAGAGTGCTCTTTCTCGTGGTGTCGATGTTGTTGTTGGAACTCCTGGCCGAATCATTGACTTGATTGAAGGCAGGAGTCTGAAATTGGGAGAGGTCGAGTATTTGGTACTTGATGAAGCTGATCAGATGCTTGCTGTCGGGTTTGAGGAGGCCGTGGAAAGCATTCTTGAAAATCTGCCATCGAAGCGACAGAGCATGCTTTTCTCAGCAACTATGCCTTCTTGGGTCAAGAAGTTGGCGAGGAAATACTTGGATAATCCCCTGAATATCGATCTGGTTAGAACTTCTTCTTATTTTCTTGTCTTAGCTTCTCATTTTCTGATAGACAGTGCAAGCTAATATTATCTGGTTTTATGTCATGCTGAATTGGCAGGTTGGAGACCGAGAGGAAAAGCTTGCTGAGGGGATTAAGCTTTATGCCATCCCAGCCACGTCAACCTCAAAGCGCACCATACTAAGCGATCTCATAACAGTATGATTTAGCAATTAATCTTTTGCAAAACAAGCTTGGAGATAAATGTCTTTAATTCTAATTGATTTCTTGGTTCTTGATTTTTTTTTTCTGAAGGTGTATGCAAAGGGTGGCAAGACCATCGTCTTTACACAAACAAAAAAAGATGCTGATGAGGTCTCACTTGCGTTGACAAGCAGCATAGCGTCTGAAGCATTGCATGGAGATATATCCCAACATCAGAGGGAAAGAACACTCAATGGTTTCCGGCAAGGGAAATTCACAGTTCTAGTTGCCACTGATGTTGCAGCTCGTGGGCTCGACATCCCAAATGTTGATCTCGTAAGTTTGCTGTTCCATGACTAAACTATCTATGCTTCAGCATGTTATCTCCCGAAATTTTTGGGCATGTTGATAGTCTGCTCATTTGACCTCTACTTTGACAGATTATCCATTATGAACTTCCAAATGACCCAGAGACTTTTGTGCATCGTTCTGGCCGTACTGGACGTGCTGGGAAAGAAGGCACTGCAGTTCTGATGTTCACGAGCAGCCAAAGGAGAACAGTGAGATCTCTGGAGCGTGATGTCGGCTGCAACTTTGAATTTATTAGCCCACCAACTGTTGGAGAAGTGTTGGAAGCCTCGGCAGAACAAGTGGTTGCCACTCTAAATGGAGTTCACCCTGAATCCATCGAGTTTTTCTCTGCAACTGCTGAGAGACTATTTGAAGAAAAAGGAACGGGTGCATTGGCTGCAGCTTTGGCACAATTAAGTGGTTTTGCTCAGCCTCCATCATCTAGATCGCTCATCAGCCACGAGCAGGTAAAATGTTCAATCATCCATTAGACTCAACGAGAAAAAGAGCCATTTCATCGATTTCTTTCATGGATTTTACCCGAAAGGAAAACTAAATGGCTTGACACTGGTTATTGGACTGCAGGGATGGGTGACATTGCAATTGATGCGAGATCCATCAAATTCGAGAGGCTATCTATCTGTGAGATCTGTTACTGGTTTCCTCTCTGATGTATATACTCCAGCTGCGGATGAAGTTGGAAAAATCTTCTTGATTGCGGATGACAGGGTCAGTGCCTATGATTGATATTTTAGCAATATATCTATTCAAACCTCTCTGTTTTTTTCTACAAAAGGACTGAATCTGTTAGTATCAGGTGCAAGGAGCTGTTTTTGATCTTCCGGAGGATATTGCGAAAGAGCTCCTTGACCAAGAACTGCCACCAGGAAACTCCATCTCCAAGATTACTAAGGTTGGTACCGGTTTATGTGTGGGAAAACTTAATCTTTCCTTTTACATTCTGTTGATCGGATAGAATGGTTCTGACATTGTTCTTGACTAATGGGTTTTCTCCTTGGGTTCTCTTGTAGTTGCCTCCTCTGCAAGATGATGGGCCAGCTAGTGACTTCTATGGGCGGTTTTCGAGCAGAGACCGGATGCCCCGGGGAGGTTCCAGGGGAGGAGGTTCGAGGGGATCCCGATCTGGAAGAGGGTCACGAGGTTGGGGTGGGGGTAGAGATTCCGACGATGAGAGAGGAGGTAGAAACAACTGGTCTCGGGGCTCGAGGGAAAGCAAGGATGATTGGTTGATTAGCGGTGGTGGAAGAAGATCAAGCAGGTCCTCTTCTTCTTCGCGAGACAGGTAAGTTTCCGTTTTTGTTTTTTTTCCCTCTCACCATCCATCCACCCTATAATAGACGTGTTAAGAAACAAAGCCTGAAAACAGGAGTTTCGGAGGTTCTTGCTTCATCTGTGGGCGTTCGGGCCACAGGGCCACTGACTGTCCCGGCAAGAGAGACTACTAAGTGTAAACTCAGTTACGCTCTCGAGGCTGCTGTCCTGTTTGGTTGGTAACGGATGAATCTTGGACCTTGTTTACTGTCCGAGAAGGGGGAGGACATTAGAGCGAGAGAGAGAGCTTCTGTTGCGTCTTTTGGAAGCAGGTATTAGCACTGAAAAAGAGTTGGAGGAGGATTAAACCAAAAGGAGGTGTTCTCATTCTCGATCGCATTTTCTGGCTATGGCGAAACGAGAAGAGCTGATAGATCTTAATATATATATATATATATATATATATATATATATGCATTTGGAAATACCAAAATCTGTACCTTTTTGGGTTCTGTGGACTAAATGGGTAGTAGTTCTTAAGTTTGTTGACGTGACATGTCTCTATTTGTACTTGATATTGTGTTGTGTCGGATATATGTACCGGAGGTCCATGTTTTTGCTCGGCGATTGTCTAATGGATCTGCTGTTCCGACAGACGAAACACGTAAATCGAAGTAGCCTCATGGGCTTTGAACCTTTGGGCTTAACGGGCCAATATTAGGCCCATAAAAACTCCTGCTAAATGTCTACTAATATGGACAAGAAATGCAGTCAAAGTTTACAAGAATTATTGTTCTATTATAGATTTATTTCGTGTGTTCTCTGATGCCAGACTACAGTAACCAAACCGAACTACATGCCAAAAATAAAATTAAGAACAAGAAACAAAAAGAAAAAGAATAGTCTCTAGCAAATTAGGGAGATGGCAGAGAAAATTGTGTATAATAATAATCTAAAATTGCAGTTATGGTTATGTTTTTATAATACCAAACAAGCCATATTCTTTATAAGAAGCATTCAGACCATCACCTGCAAGAGAACAAACATTGCCCAAAAGAAACAAAGAAGAGCATCAGCATTTCCATTCCTTCCCCCCCCCCCCCGTCGACAGTTTCAGAATCAGATACCATAAAATGTAAAGGTGATATCAACTATATATAAACACCAGCATCCTTCCAGTTCCACTCCTTTTAATTCCAGATTCTTAGTTCCTCCTTTCTATTACTATATAATTCTAAAACCCGAAGTTCAAACTCTACATATAATTGCTTAATCGAGGATTCGAACAGAATCATTATCGCAGATTTGTACCTGATCGAGGAATCTGCCTTGATGTGTCTGGTTTTGCTGCAATGACACCTAGGCTGCGACCTGAAAACATTCATAGACGACGTGAAACATGTGCATGAGTTATGTGCATATATTATTAACCATAGCAACTTGATCCTTCACTACTCCATTTGATTTTTTTGGTAGGTTGGTCTGCTCAGACACCGAACTCTAACTGCTTGTTTCTTTTTAGCAATCCATCTAAATCTTTGTGTCCAAAAGCAGTTGTAAAAATACGAAAATCGAACAAAAGTTTAAGCTCAGATAACAAGCGGATAGCGGATTGAGTATATCATGTGACATTCTCATACATGTAAGTGTGAAATCATACAAAGATGTTTTATCTTCCGCAAAGGCACAGACAAATAGAGTACGGAATCATTATTCAGACAATCGTATATCCACACTACAGGAATCATTCTGAGAACTATCCCACTAGATAAGATTCCTAGAGAATATAACAAACAAGGAGATTTACCTTCTCACGTTCAGGATCAAAGATGGCCTTCACCGCCTCAAACACCTCTTCAACAGGCTTCACAGCTTCAATCTGAAGGAAGTAGCAGAATTTTCATTACAGATTTTCAAATCCTAGAAACTGAAAGTATTAAAACTAAAGAATAAAATTTCACCTTCCGAACTTTCCCCTTAGCTTCATAGTACTCCACCACTGGCAAGCTAGATTCAAGGAAGACCTTGAATCGCTTCCTTATAGTCTCGATGTTGTCATCCTCTCTTCCCTTAATTGACAGAGAAGATGTGTAGGCGAAGAGAGTCAGCAAATATATATATTTTAAACCCGTCATCGAAAAGAAGCCTAGATGAACATCAACAGCGAACAGAAATGTTATATTAACCTGGTTTCTATTCAATAGGCGCCTCTCCATCTCTTCTTCATGGCAATCAAAAAACAAGACAAACTTTGGCTCAATCTTAGTCTGCAGAACCAGCAAGAACTCATGTAAGCAGCAATTGTCATAGAATCATCACTTTCTAAACTAACTGGCACAGAGAGTTGATACCGCACCAAGAAAGGACTACTTAGAAAAGATTGACAACCTTTAGATACTTACAACATTTTCAAAAGCTGCTCGATTCTCCTCATTACGGGGGAAGCCATCAATAAGGAATTTGTCATTTCCACTCTCTTGCATTGCTTTCTGAAGAAGCTTAACTGTAACCTCAGAAGGCACAATCTTTCCCTCTTTAATCATGTTCTGGATCATGTTTCTGTAAAACCAGACAAAAAAAATGAACCCAGAGAGGGATGTAAAGACAGGTGAAAGTACTTGAACAGCAGATGTACCATGTTTGCCGAACAAATAGAAACAAACACTTCACATGTCAAAAGTACAGGAAGTACAAAGCACGATGAATCTTAATGCTTTTGCCACAGCAAATTTTCATAGCACGTAGATGCTAGAAAACAATAATGCTGAAGTTTTTCAGTACATCATGGTTTTGGGCATACCCATTCTCAGAACCTGAACTGATTTCAGCTCTAAGAAGGTCTCCAGCACTCAGATGCGTGTAACCATATTGTTTGACAATATTGGCACATTGGGTACCCTTTCCACTGCCTGGACCACCTGTTCAATCAATTGAAAACAAGGAATAGATTCAGAAGAGAGGGAATAGAACTCGACCGTGCTATAGTTTCCATGTGTTTGACACACAAGAAACAACCTTTGAGAATACCACATGGACCATCAATAGAAAGCAAACTAATAACAGTACTACATAAGCAGAAATTTAACTTGGCATAGACACAGGAAGAGACCTCAAGGAGAACTCCTTACCCAGGACAAACACAACTGTAGGTTTATTCTCAGTTCCGCTTCCATTTGCCTCCTGAAGAAATGCACCCAGATAACTTTAAGTACGAGTATCGATATATTTCTCGAGAAAGATAAACACTGGAAGTGGAGCATGTGTATCATAGTTACATAGCATAGCCTTATCACATCAGAAGTTTTCTGATCGGTAAAGAGGCCTTTTTATTGGGAAGTTTTATCATACTATCACACAAAACACTATCCCAACAGCATTATTATGCATAGCATTCTTCCAAACTAAGATTGGGTATCTTGGTGTAAATAATGCCTAAACATACATAAGAGCAGTGAAACACAACAATCATTTACATAAACTTTTAGTATGAAGGATCCTCCATGGAAGTTTCAATTCATTACCTTGTTGGCAGCATTTCCCATGGCAATTAAGTTAAGCTACGATCAAATATTTCCTGCGAAGAGCATTCAATTGACAATAAGAGACCAATGCAGAACAATTCATGGAGATCCACCGTGCAACAGTTAATCATAACGAAATAAGCACAAACAAAAGCTAAAATGGGAGAAAAGGGTTGAGCTCCAGGAGATCTAGGCGAAGATCCGAACAACAATCAGATCTGGTGAAAGAGAAAACGGTAATCGAATCAATTTTCATACACAACTTGTCCGATTATCACCATCAGGACATGAACTCACTCGAAACAAATGCGCAAAAACAGTGATAATCAGATTAAAGAAATGATGTACAAGATCCAAATCAAACCATTACGAAGCAAACCGTGACCTAGAAATATAACGCCAGAAATCTAGGAATCGATACGCATAAAAAAGATGAGAAAACGATGAAACGAGAGACACGAATCGAATCAATGTCCGAAACACAAGTTCTGAACTCTGCTATAAATTTTCAGACAATCAAAGCGACAAAATTGCGAAGAAATCCCAAAAAAAAATCTGAGAGGAGAGCACCTGAAGCAAAGGACCCCGGGAATTTGGTTCGACGAGAGCGACGAGAGGAGGGATAGAGAATGACATAAATATGCACACACATCTACATACATATACACACATGTTCATGTATATGTGTAATCATGTGCATATATATAATAAAATAGCATAATAAGTCCGAAATACGATTCCGTTTAATGACCAATTTGCTTGTGTTGTAAAAAGTGGTAACTTGAAACAGAAGATACAAGTAGATTTAATTCAATGGTTTGCTTAATCCCAAATTAAAGACATAAATCAAAATATATTTTTTGTAAGTAATCAATGTAATTTATGTAAGAAGAAGAAGAGTTAAAGTGAAATATGAAAAAAAAAACTCTAGATTTTTTTTAAATCTAAAACTCAAATGAATCTCAAACAAAATATCTTTAGTTTTTTTTCAAAAAATAGTTTAAAATCTCAATTATCCATAAGTCCAAATAAATCTCTAACTTTATAAAAACTTTTAAAGACTTATAATTTTATTAATTTAGTTATTTTCTAACTCACTTTAAAATTATATTTGTAATAATATTTTACTGTTTTAATTTTATTTCCAAAAATTTAGAATTGAAGTAATGAAATACCAAATAAAATAGCTTTTAGATGTTTTTATAAAGATGAAGGATAATTTATATGGTAGATAATTTTAATGGATAATCATTTTATAAATACATATCTAAAAATATCATAGTTAGAACATCAATATATTTATATAATTATTAAAATTTATAATCTTTAGATTTTATCTTTTATTTTATTTTTAGTAATTGAAGTTTTGAAATGGATTGAAATGATGTTGTTTCGAAAGTCAAGGATTTTCTAAGATCTTTTTTTGATTATTAAAATTTTAAAAATAACTTTCAAAAAATTTAGAGTTTTTATATAGTATTTTATTTTCTATCTCTCATGCAAGAAATTGGTTTTAATTAGGCAAATGTGTGATTAAACATTTAATTATAGTGCGAAATAAAGTAATGGTATAAGAAAAAGAAGGCGAAGGAATAGCGTGTAGCTAAAGCTAACCAAACCAAACTTAATTTATTGTATAAAAAAGAGATAAATACAAAATGAAAAAGTGATGGTATAATGAAATGCTACGTAAAAAATCCATTAAAATTCATGAATTTGTAAAATGATGAAAAACTTGACAAATTTATTATCATTATAATTCTCAAATTTGTAAGACAGTGTCATTTTAATTTCTAAACGAATTTGTGGATCAATTATGTAAAAAAAATTCTATTACCAATTAAAAAGTTTGAGAATTCCAATAAAATATTTTGAAAGTTTGGAAAAGTTTAGAAATTAATTTTTCACTATTTTACAATTTCAGGAATTTTAAAAAAAATTACCAAAAAAAAAACGGTCGAATCATATAAACAAAAGATGAGATTTGGAGGAAGGATGGAGTTTATGGAGGATGGAAAGAAGCTTAGAAATGGTGAGAGGCTTCTCTTGGAAATCATCAAGCCCTGCCTCCATGAACTCTTTCTTCTCTCCTTCCTTCGTCCTCGTCGACACTCCCGCTATCACGCTCTCTATCCCCATCTCCCTTAGCCTCCTCGTCGCCTTGGATAAAATAGAGATTAGTACAAGGTCTTAAGCCCTGATAATGACGGTAATTACGATAGTGCCCTTGAGGGTTACGTACCTGGATGCCGTTCATGACGGGCATGTCCATGTCCATGAGGATGAGGTCGTAGTTTTTGCCGGAAGAGTGCACGTCCACGGCTTCCTTGCCGTTGCAGACAACCTCGTTCTGAATGCCGAACATCAGAAGTTTTCTGATCGGTAAAGAGGCCTTTTTATTGGGAAGTTTTATCATACTATCACACAAAACACTATCCCAACAGCATTATTATGCATAGCATTCTTCCAAACTAAGATTGGGTATCTTGGTGTAAATAATGCCTAAACATACATAAGAGCAGTGAAACACAACAATCATTTACATAAACTTTTAGTATGAAGGATCCTCCATGGAAGTTTCAATTCATTACCTTGTTGGCAGCATTTCCCATGGCAATTAAGTTAAGCTACGATCAAATATTTCCTGCGAAGAGCATTCAATTGACAATAAGAGACCAATGCAGAACAATTCATGGAGATCCACCGTGCAACAGTTAATCATAACGAAATAAGCACAAACAAAAGCTAAAATGGGAGAAAAGGGTTGAGCTCCAGGAGATCTAGGCGAAGATCCGAACAACAATCAGATCTGGTGAAAGAGAAAACGGTAATCGAATCGTGCGGTGATCTTCGCTTCCGACAGGTTTGGGAGTTCATGGCCTGTTGTTGTTCCTCTCATCATTTTTGTTTTTTTTTTTTTCTGATGATTTTTTATTTTTTTGTGTTGTTTGAATGCCTACTTAAAGGAAGAGAAGAACATGAGATGAGTGAATGATTTCATATAAAAGAGTATCGAATGGATTTTGTTAAAGATCCATGCAGATCTTGCTAAAAGCTGTTGCTTTGCTTTGAGATTGTTTCTATTTCGGGGAAAAATCTTCTCAGTTACTTAATTTGGATGATTTCGTTTGGATTGCTGTACCAATATTCATCAATCTCTCTAGATGTTTTAATGTTTTGGCTCTGGATTTAGTTTAATAGCTAATTAATAACATAATTATTCAAACCAAATCATGTATCAGCTCTTGTTATTTTTCCCCATAACAAGGAAGGCTAACTTATGGTAAGTCATTTATAAAAATGAAATCTTTTGTGACAGCTCTAACTAAACACACACGCATGAAGACATCTACTAACAGATTCGGACAACAGATTACAAAGGAAACGAAGCAGGTACAGATCTTGTTTTTGACTGAATCTGATCCCGCATCTCGGGCTTCGTCTTCGTTATTTCGTTACTACAGAGGCTGTGGCCGCGACTGAACTATGTAGATGTCCGTTCCGACCAAGCATCCTTCGACGTCTTGTGCACAGCCAAAGTTCCTTTCGAGATAGAATCCGACAGCACCGAGTCTCCGTCCGAGTTGCTGTCTGAACATTGCGTCCACCGTTAACGGTTTCTTGCTGTAATCTACCGTCAAGCATATGAGCTTCCCGTCGGCAGGACCGGCTCCCGAGAGCAGAAGTTCCTCGCTGAAATTCGCGAACGCAAGCGTATTCATGACCCCATCGAATTTTCCCGAGGAGATTCTCCATGGCGTTCCTCTTGTGCCTGATGCCAAGGTCTCGCCTGAGCCAGGGGCAATTTCAGCCTCGAGAAAGTTGCTGTCGGGGTCTGATGGGCTCACAGTGTGGAGCACGAATGAGAGGTCTGGAGAAAGCATTTCTTGAACCAGAACGGCCATCATAGCTTCCTTCTGTGGCACACCCGAAGCTCGACGGCTCAGGACGGCTCTTCTCGTGTAGAGAGACGCCCAAACTTGGCACACAGCCCTCGAGAAGATAGATGGGTTGGAAGGGCTCACATTAGGGATTGACTCGTAAAGCCCTGCAGCCGACATCCCGGCCAAATCCTCGACGTTAGCGCTCGAACGCACGATCAGACGTTCGTCCAATGGAAAAGCTTTTTCTACGCCGTTCATCGTGACTTCGGGCACTTGCAAGGATATGACCACTTCATGGATTTGATTGCATATGTCATCGAGTTCACCACCTTCCAGTCTAGCAGTTTCTAACAGTTCCAGCAGCGACGCGAACTTTTCTGCGGAATTACTTTGCTTTATAGCCAATTCCATAGTGCCGAAAGGTATGACGATACCAGCTGGGACTAGAAACGATGTCGGCACGCCTTCTTCACTGTACACTGACATTGCAAGGCTCGATATGAAATCAGAAGGAACATTCGGAAAAAAAAAAACTAGTAAAAGTATATTGCATTAAGCTCGGATTCTCAAAACCAGAAATTTTGGAAAATTACCCGTACCGGAAGCTGCAGCTAAAGATGCCAGATGGCCACACGCAGCGGCTTTCGCGCCAGAGGTTAACAGATCTGCATCTGCAAGTGCTATAATTCCTCCACCGGATAAGTCCTATCCATGATTTTTTTTTGAAAAACATTATGATCTGAATTCGAAGATCGATGAATGCAAATAGAAAAGAAGTAAAAGGGTTCAACCTTATCTGAGGAAATGAGAGTAGATGCGGACAAGGACACAGCAGGTGAATCTTCATCGGCAGTAGAGGAACTGTCACTGTCCTTATCCTTTATCACATTCGAGAGGATACCGCTACCTTCAGACGAGAGTATCAGATTCACGTGGCTTGGAGATGCTTCCAACCTGCAAGGATCGTCATCTCAGAAGGCAGAATACAGAAAAAACGATGAATAAATTCAATAATGACAGAAAATAACCTCAGAAATTTTCCTAAAAGCCGACGTATATCCGCAACCTTTTCATCATCGTCACATGTAACAAAGACAACCTTTTCCTGCAGAAAAAATTATGCGAAAACATAGAACATAAAATAAAATGCAATGGCAAGAGAACTGAAAATAACGAAAGAAAAAAGCTCGTACCTGACGTGCTCTTACACCGAGGTGAGATAAGTGAGGCAATTCCTGCAGAAGTATAACTCCTGTTATGTTGCTCCCAGCAGTGCTTACCTGCCAAGTATGTCGAAAGGTATTGTATTATATTGCCAATTCGGCAAATGCTAAAGGTAACGCGAAGGAAGGAAGAGCAGGTTTAGAAGAGAGCAGATAGTTCACAAGGCTTAAAAACCTCCTCATCTCCATCGGCTTTGTTGACAATAAGAATGATAGGACCTTTTGCAGTTGGTGGCAATGATCCCGGTACGATGCTTTCAACCTGGAAGAGATATAGTCAAGAGTAATATCGGAAAATGTGAAACTCACATCAAGAGCTTGAAGCTGGAGCTATAACAGCTACATTTCGACCGGATTGTCAAAAGTTTCCAAGGCATGATAAATTTCTTTGGCAAAGATAGATAATGAACTGATCAGTTCGTAAAAAAATTTCTTACGGTAATGAAATTAGTATGTTATGATTTGACCAAATCTTCTTGAAATGACAAAAATCACTCAGATATTTATTCATTTTGCATGTACCTGAACTAATGTTCCAGAAGTAGATCCTGGGACAATGACGTCCCAGCCCTCAGAACCGAGAGAATTTCTAACAGCTTTCAGAAGAAGAGTACAGAGCTTTGAGACCTGGAAAATTACACTTCAAGGCAGAATAACAGGTAAAATCAAGGAACTTGCAGTAAGAAACCAGCTGTTAAGAAATAGTACAAATTTCATGAGCAATATTAAAATGGTAACCATTCCCAAAATTCACCATAATGATTTCTGAATCCACATATATGAGATTTCTTGTGTTGAATAAGCTAGGAAGTAAAGGTTCAACTTACCCAGCACGAATTTCAGCCTCTGTATAGGTCTTGACACTATTCTCTGGAATCCCAAAAGCCCTTCCTAGAATCTGAAGTCATTAGCATATTGCCTTTACAATATTAGAAAATGTTTTCATTCTGTAGATATACTTCTGAAAATTAGACATAAGACTTTGCATACCTCAACACTAGGAGGAAATATTTGAAGAAGTACATCAGAATATTCCGCGGTTAACCTATGTGCTCTATCCAGCGTAGCTTTCAGCCTCATCGCCCAAATGGTTTTTCCATCCTCTCCTCCTTCACATGAAAAAAAAAAGGTAAAAAGAGGAGCCTTTCAGCATTTAACACAAGCTTGTACAAATGTTTCTACAACCTTGCCTTGAACATCATGAATTAGACTAAAGTACTCAAAATATCGCATAATCAAAAGGGGGAAACAACCTTCCTTTTCGAGTAGACCTCTCTCTTTCCAGGATTTGAGCTCATTCCCAATAGCTGCACATTCTTCTCGCTTCCAACCAGATAAACCTACTTGATGAACGCCTAAAATCAGAGCATCAAGTGGGTCATTCCAGGAGCCAACATTTTTTGATTCCACATCTTCCGCAAGTTGACAAGACCCTCCCACGATTTCAAGAGCATTCAAGAATCTACTCAACTCAAAGACAACAGAAACGGGTTAGAATCAAGTCCATGATATCAAGCAGGAGGAGAATAAAACAACAGCCTGAGGAAATATGGTTCCAGAAACTTATTAAAAGCTCATGCCCACCTGCTTAGGAGAACAAAAAAGTAGTCCTCCAAGCCAATCTCACAGAGACGCCACTAAAAAGTGAACCACCAAAATGAATTATATCCTCGCATAATATAGAGAATAATCCGCAAAATGATCTTACTTTCTGTCGCATTGCAATGGCAGCATCCGGAGCATCATTTCGCAAGCCACTTTCAAGGCCCTTCACAATTGCGTCTCTCAGAGAATTCAGAGCATGCATCATTTTGATCAACTCCGGGACATCAGTCGAGTCTCTCAATGAGTCAAGACGCTGGAAATGTGTATTTCGTTATCAACCAGATTAAGGAACTTCACAATTACAAAACCCTGAGTGTCACTATACTGGATAGTAATTGCATCCAGATGTTATACTGGAGATTATGCAAGCAAAGCCTATTATGTAAAGGCTTACTGCCACCCACATGGTGAAATATTTTGTTCTTCTCAACCAATAGCATAGACATGGCACAGTGCAGAACAACAAGATGAATATATAAGAACCAAAGGAAGAACCTACCATTTTGCATTCTGAAAACAAATTAAGAGCAGAAAGACCTCTATCATCCATAGATGCTCTAATGGAATCAAGTTGCTCGGTGAGGCTGCAACAAGATACATAGGGAATTATTTAATGTGTGGGACAACCACAACACATAAATCCAGACCGGAAATGCGCATGATTCCGAACCAACTAATGGTGCATACCTTCCAGCATTGAAGAAATCCTTAAGCTCATTATGGAATATTCTGAACTGCTCCACAAAGGCTTCGTTGTATTCTCCTGGGTTCTTGGTAATTCTTTCTAGCATTGCTTCCGTCGCAATTAAATCTTCTGGGCCAGCATTTCGGTGAAGCTTGTTTTGTATGGTATGCTTGATTTCTTGCTGGAACGAAAATGTTATAGACAAGTACCATAAAAACTTATCTATTGACGCAAAAGGTAGAGAGATTATCACCTTGAGATCATGAGGAATATCACCGCGATGGGCAATGTCTCTAATTCGTGTTAGAGGGACAGATGCAGTGAATTCCGCTTTAAAAGATGGCAAGCATGGATGGATTTTCCGAGCCACAAGTACTTCCTATCAAACAAAATCATATCTCACTTCGAGATGCTAAAGAAAAATATCATTGTGGCACATGAGGAGGAGGATGTGGTATGAAAACCTCTGCTGAAGCATCTTTGCAGCAAATGCGCTCTAATTCACGGAATATAAACCTGGAAATCTCAGCATGCCGATTTGGACGATGATGACCTCCATCTTCCAAGCAAGGAATCTGGCCCGTATTTATCCACTGCATAGAAATCAAAAAAGGAAACAGAAGATAAACAAACGAGCAAACTACCAGAGAAACGAAAAAAAAGTGTGAGCTGTGATGAGGAAAAGGGAAACCTTTAAATAAATGGCAGAGTACAAGAGAGCTTCCAGCCGTTCTTCCCTCTCAATACTCCCAACTATAAGTTCACGTACTACTTCAAGCTTTGGTACAAGAACACATAACAATGAGAAACATTTAATACTTGGCCATTTTCAAACCAAATGCGAGGAATCTACGAGCCAGAGACAGAACCTTTCGCCACCAGTTCCTAGCATTTCGATCACCTTCCACCAACTTGAGAGCTGACCCTTCAAGACCAGTGGTGTTCCAAATTCGGTCGACTTCCCTGTTGCGATGCTCATTGGACCGCATGAAAGACGCATCCTTGCCTTGCCATTGTCCAGCCAATGTGCTCTTCCCAATCTGCACGCCGTCATTGTTCACTATATGATCATCTTGCTCACCAACATCATCTTCATGATCATCATCAATACCAGCCTCCTGGGGTAAATCAAGGGGCTCTCTGGTGGCATCCCAGCGACAGACAACAGAAAAACTGCCAGAATTTGGAAGCTGAAGAACACGGTTTTCGCCAGATTCCCATGCGAGAGACCCATCTTTCCGGACAATCACGAACTTATACTCCAGCACCTGTCCTCCGGACAGCTCCAGCTCACAAACCCACCCCTTCTCTGTCCAGATGAGAGGCACCTTCTTCTTCCATGATCCTATTTCTTTGCTTGACCCCAAAATGGCGACATGCTCCCCAAATTTAACTTGATGATCCAATCTCAATTTCAACATCACTTTCTTGCCCGACCTATCGTCCTTCTTCTGCCGCTGTTCCTCTCTGTCCCATACCAAATTTAGCTTGTCAAAATGGAACCAAACGATTAATTCTACCGAAACCACAAATGGAAAACGAAGAAGAAAATATGAAACGTACATGGTGGAAGAAGCCGAAGCAGAAACAGTACAAGTGATGCGACAAGAAGAATGGTTGAATCTCTGCGATCGACCAAAAGGAACCCGGCGACTGAAGAAAACGAGCCTTGGAAGTGACGAGCTTCTGGAGAAGAAGATGCATCGAGAGCTGCAGCAATGGCTGCTGACTACCTCCATTGGATCGCGAGAACGATGATAGATTTTTTTCACGTTCCTTCTTCAGTCACCAACGAATAAAAATAGCATTTCAAAAAATATCTTCCCTTGTTTCCAAAAAAAGAATATTTTATTATTTATAAGAAAAAAAAATTTAAAATTGGGCTTACGCTATTGGGCTTGATAGATAGCCCGACAAAGAAAAGGAGGGAGAGCGACCGAAGTGGAGGAAGGTTCAAGGTTTTCCCATTTCCACTGAGATTTGTTTGCCGCTATTCGAATTTGTTCTGTCTCCGTCTCAGCTTCTTCTCCGAATCTCCGTCTTCGCTTAGATCGCAGCCATGCATGCCCCGGTTCTCGTTCTCAGTGAGTGTTCTTCTATCCATTTCGGAGCTTTTCGTAAGTTAGTTTCGAGTTTGTGACCTTAAACTGTTCGTGCAATGTTTCAGAGGATTCGCTGAAGCGTGAATCTGGAACCAAGGTTCACTATGCTAATATTCAGGCTTCAAAGGTAATGTTTGGTTCTGATTCTTCTGCTTATCGCTTTCGTTTCTCTTTTTCGATCATGGCTTCACCAGAGTGTGTTGGGCTCCATTTTCACAGGCTGTGGCCGATATCATCCGTACGACATTGGGTCCTCGTTCGATGCTGAAGATGCTGCTTGATGCTGGAGGAGGTAAGGTTTTGTTCGTTTGCTCTTTCGACTTTTCGTGCGTTGCCTTAGGGTTTTTTTCTGCCTGTGTATGGTGGCTTTAGATCTCAGAAGAGGCCCCATTAGGGTTTATACTTTCTGGAATATCGTTTTTTTTTTTGGTAAAATACTTTCTGGAATATCGTTGCTATGCTTCAGCTCTATATGACCCTCAGTGTATGCGGGTTCTGCTTGTCTTACGGGTTTTGCTGTCTCCTCTGTTTCAAAACTTATGACTGGCCGTATCAGCCGAGCTCAAGCTTTTCCGTTATGTCTATTCACAGGTATTGTTGTCACCAATGACGGAAATGCGATTCTGCGTGAACTGGATCTTGCTCATCCTGCTGCCAAAGTAATATTTTTTCCTTCCCTCTCCCATTCGCACTGTCTTCGATTCTTACCTCACCGATCCATTCATCATGGCTGTGGTTGTAGTCAATGATTGAGTTGAGCCGTACACAAGATGAAGAAGTTGGTGATGGGACAACATCTGTTATTGTGCTGGGTATGGACCCTCGTTCAAAATTTTTGCAAAATCGTCTGCTTGCCAATTGCTTGGTTTCAATCAATGTTTCACTTATCATAGCTGTGGATTATTACATAGTGAAAACAACTCTATCGGGTGGCTGTTTTGCATGGTGAATTATAACTTCTCAGACATCATTGATTCATTAGAATAAATTAAGATATTTTTTATAGTGTTTATCAGATAACTAGGTGCTGCTATGTGGTATGAGCGTGTAGTTTGGCATAGAAATACCAAGTGCTGACTGAGGCACATCTGTTTAACATGCATGAGTTCCGAATGCATCATGTTTTCTGTTGTTTGTACTCATGGTAATTTTCTTCCCAACAGCCGGTGAAATGTTACATGTTGCTCAAGCTTTTATTGAGAAGAATTACCACCCCACAGTCATATGCCGAGGTATGCTTGCACCATAGATTGTTCATCGTTTTCATAGAAATTATGTTGTTTTGAATCTATATAATGCTCTTTGCTGCAGCTTACAATAAGGCTCTTGAGGATGCTATCGCTGTTCTTGACAAAATTTCTATGTCAATTGATGTTAATGACCGTAAGTCTGAAACTAGCTTGGTGCAGCTAATTTGGTCCTGCTGATCTTTTGACTTTTCTTTTATGGTAATACTTATGAAATTTTTATGATTGCAGGGGCAACAATGTTAGGACTAGTCAAGAGCTGCATAGGGACAAAGTTCACCAGCCAATTCGGAGATCTAATTGCTGTGAGTACTTAAATTACTGTAACATTTAGGCTTGTATCATCGTGTGTGGTTTCACCATCTTCGGTTTGATTTATAATATAAATGTAAGATGACTCACGGAAGGCACAGATATATCCATGTAGCTAAATATGTAGAACCTGCACTACTATGATACTAAGTAAGTTATCTATTTCTGTGCGGGATGTGCCCTTTTGTCCTTTTCTAGTGATGCTCTATTTTCTACGGTGAATTATATTATGGCTGTCCATAGTACCATACTCAAATTAGTTTGCATGATTTACCTGGTTGTATCAGGATTTGGCTATTGATGCCACTACTACTGTCGGTGTTGATCTTGGGCAAGGATTGAGGGAAGTAGATATAAAAAAGTACATCAAGGTCGAGAAGGTCCCTGGTGGTCAGTTGGAGGACTCTAAGGTTCTGAGAGGAGTGATGATTAATAAGGATGTAGTTGCCCCTGGTAAAATGAAAAGAAAGATTGTCAACCCTCGGATTATTCTTCTTGACTGTCCCCTTGAGTACAAAAAAGGGGAAAATCAAACCAATGCCGAGTTGGTTAGAGAAGAGGATTGGGAAGTACTGTTGAAGATGGAAGAGGAATACATCGAGAATATCTGCATGCAAATATTGAAGTTCAAACCTGATTTAGTGATTACGGAGAAGGGGCTTAGTGACTTGGCATGTCACTATTTCAGTAAAGCTGGGGTCAGTGCAATCCGTAGGTTGAGGAAGACAGACAACAATAGAATTGCTAAGGCATGTGGGGCAGTGATTGTGAACAGACCCGATGAACTGCAGGAGTCTGATATCGGTACAGGGGCCGGCTTGTTTGAGGTCAGGAAAATTGGGGACGAGTTCTTCGCCTTTATTGTTGAATGCAAAGAACCCAAAGCATGTACTGTACTCTTAAGGGGACCGAGTAAAGATCTCCTCAATGAAGTGGAAAGGAATCTACAGGTGTGTCAATAGTTTAATGAACTAAATATCAGACCGTCATCCTATAGCTAAAATGTGTTCTGACTGCAGGATGCCATGTCTGTCGCAAGAAACATTATAAAGAACCCGAAGCTTGTTCCTGGTGGTGGAGCAACTGAACTAACAGTTTCTGCCACTTTAAAACAGAAGAGTTCGACGATCGAAGGCATAGAGAAGGTTGATTCGATCATTTCCCTGCCTTAAAAGCTAAATATATCTTTGAATCGTCGAATGGGGTGGGTGCCTAAGAGTTTACTGTTGTTGACTGTTGTTGGAACCAGTGGCCTTATGAAGCAGCTGCTATAGCTTTCGAGGCTATTCCCCGGACTTTGGCTCAGAACTGCGGGGTTAACATTATCAGAACTATGACCGCATTGCAAGGAAAGGTACATATTCTAAACTTCTAAGACGTTACAGCCTTCTATTCCCCCGCTGCTCGTCTTTCTGGACATTGAATTTTGTTGGTTGGTTGGTACAGCACGCGAATGGTGAAAATGCATGGGTGGGCATTGACGGGAACTCGGGTGCCATTGTCGACATGAAAGAAAGCAAGGTAGGAACGAAACCCGACCTCGAGATTTCCCCAATCATACATACATTTAGTCGGTGTGAGTAACGTTATTTTTTTACCCGAGCAGATATGGGACGCCTACAACGTGAAGGCGCAAACGTTCAAGACAGCGATAGAAGCGGCTTGTATGCTCCTGAGGATAGACGATATAGTGAGCGGCATCAAGAAGAAGCAAGCTCCAGGACAGGCTCCTTCAAAGCCTACTGTTGAAACTGAAGCAGATGCTGACGGCGAGCAAATACTTCCCGACTAAGACAAAAAAACAGGTTCTCTGTCTTTTCTTTTTGTTTGGTCATTGGGTGAGTTAGTGCAATGTCTTTGTGAAAGTGGGCCCCTTGATTTCTTTCACAAAAAAATTTTGCATTGACCAAAACGTTGGGAGCTTTTTGGAATTTGATATCCACTGGTTTAGTTGCTGCTGCTGCTTGTTATGTACTTTGAATTTCTGGGTGCAGACTTTTCAGATTTAGGTTTTTTTATTTTTTGTCTTTTTGAAAAAAAATTCAAAGTCTTAATATTCTCATCCTCACTTTTTATCCTTTTGGTTGTCATCAAATCAGATTTGTGGACTCCAAGAGGATATGTATCATTGAAAATTACACTCATTTCCCAAAGCATCCCATCTATTTTTAATTTTATAAACCCATTCTGGTAATTATTGTTCACACGTGAAATACTGAAACATGCATATAATAATACATGTGATGTGATAATATGTCACGTTTGGCACGTTACCCCAAAAATTGCACTTAGAAATAGATGGGTTATACACGTAATTTGCTATGTGACCTCATTCCATGGACGTATACCATAATCTCTGTCTAAATTCGACAAACAACGATTTCACATTTCCGCAAATGCAAACGTATCAACCTTGCAACTACTAGACAAAAACCGTATGATGCATTAGGTGAACGTCTTAGTGTTCATATTAAAATTTGATTCGCCACGAGATTCTCCGCATGAGTATAAAATTCAACGAAGATAAAAAGATAATATTAATAATAATAGGTTATAAAAAAACGGAATTAAATAAAATTTAAAATTCAACGAAGGTAACGTCTGTTGACCGATGACTCCCAACATGTGATCACACATCGGACGTGTGGATATCCCGTTGGCTCGGCTCCTCTTTAAGTCCATAGTCTTTGCCCCTTCGTCTTTGTTTATAAATCCAAAACATACACTTTCATTTCACTTCAACTTCCGAAAAACAAGTCTCGTCTTCTCTTACAGACAAACAACACCCACACAAAGATAATTTGTCTCAATAGTTTCAACTTGTCAGAAGAGTTTTACCGTCGGAAAAAATGCCGGCAGGAGGGTTTGCGGCGGCTCCGGCCACTGGAGTGGAGTTCGAGGCCAAGATCACTCCCGTCGTCATCATTTCTTGCATCATGGCTGCCACCGGTGGCCTCATGTTCGGTTATGACGTCGGAGTTTCCGGTAATCTCTCTCTCTCTCGATCTCGATCTCGACGTTAGTCTTGCAACACAATACAAACAGTTTTCTTGGAATCACCGGACACATTTTCGTGATTGAAACCCGGGTTTTTTTCCTGCAGGGGGGGTGACATCGATGCCGGATTTCCTGAAGAAGTTTTTCCCGGTGGTATACAGAAGAACACAAGAAGGAGCAGACATAAACAGCAACTACTGCAAATACGACAACCAGGGGCTTCAGCTCTTCACTTCGTCTCTCTACCTCGCCGGCCTGACGGCCACGTTCTTCGCCTCGTACACGACGAGGAGGCTGGGACGAAGGCTGACGATGCTGATAGCGGGAGTGTTCTTTATCATAGGTGTCGTGCTGAACACGGCAGCTCAGGACCTAGCCATGCTCATCATCGGCCGGATCTTGCTCGGATGCGGCGTAGGGTTTGCGAACCAGGCGGTGCCTCTGTTCTTGTCGGAGATTGCTCCGACCAGAATCCGAGGTGGTCTTAATATTCTCTTTCAGCTTAATGTCACCATTGGTATCCTCTTCGCCAGTCTCGTCAACTATGGCACCGCCAAGTACGTATCGTTTTTTTTTTATCTCCCCGTCTTCCTTTTCTTCTTCTTTTTTTTTGAAAAACTATATTATCCGGTGGCGATAATTATGATACGATAGATCGTTTCCACTGTTGTGGAAATAATTTTTTTTTTTTGGGGGGTTAATATTTTCCAGATAAGAAATAGAAACTTTTAACGTCCGTTGGGGGATTTTTACATTTTTGTTTTTATATTATGTTAATACATTTTTCTAATCGATTTTTTCTTAATGGTCCACTTTGCTGACTACAGCAAGTAGTTAGGAAATATCGTCCACGTGCCTACGTCGATTCGTCCACGTGCCTACGTCGATTCGTGGACTCTATACACTCTTAATTCATTGGATTAATTAATCCTTTACGTCATCGCTTCTCTTCCATTTTTAATCTCTGCGTTGACTTTTGAATTATCATCATCGAGTCAGTTTGAGTTACACAAAAGCAAAAAGCCCGATGGGCTTTAGCGACTTATACATTATTCATAGGCCCAAATATAAGGGCCCTAAGGCCTTTTTTATTATTTGCAAGCCCAATATGTTTTGTTTTTTTTTTTTAAGTAAATGACGTTTTTTTTTGCTGTATTGGCGGGAATTACAGGATAAAGGGAGGGTGGGGATGGAGGCTGTCGCTAGGGCTCGCCGGGATTCCGGCGGTGCTCCTGACCGTCGGAGCTCTTTTCGTCACCGACACGCCCAACAGCCTCGTCGAACGCGGTCGCCTCGACGAAGGTAAGGCCATCCTTCGCCGCATCCGAGGCACCGACAACGTCGAAGCTGAGTTTGCCGATCTCCTCCAAGCCAGTCGTCTCGCCAAAGAGGTCAAGCATCCTTTTAGAAACCTCCTCAGACGAAGAAATCGGCCTCAGCTCGTCATCGCCGTCGCGTTGCAGGTTCGTCACTCACTCTCTATCTTTCTCTTCTCTGCAATTCTATCTCGATTCGTTCTCTTTAGTTCTCTGTGTGTGAGTGTCTGGTTCTGAAATCTGCGTCATTTGAAGATGAGTAGAGGGAAATTTAGTTAGTACTGATTCCTCGCTCGATCGGGATTCAGAGCCTTTCTCTCTGCTCAATTTGAGTCGCTATTGAGGACTTGAATGCCCTGAAATTATAAAATCGATCACAAGGTTTCGATTATGATTCGGAGATTGAAATCCTGAAATTTTCAGTTTGATTTTGCGCCATTGTCTCGGATTGGGATTCAAGGATTCTCGGGTAACAATAGGAGTGGTGTCTCCTTTAACTTTGAAGCGCGATTAGATCTACTCTATGCCTTAATCACCATTAGTTCTCAATCAAGATCGAAAAACCCTAAAATATTCAGTAAAAACGAACCGAATCTATCTAAAACAGAGAACAGCGCTCTCCATTTCTACTTTAAAATATCATCTTGGTGTTTACTCAGCTGCAATTTCCTTTACATGCTTTGTATGAAGTGCAGATATTCCAGCAATTCACGGGCATAAACGCCATCATGTTCTACGCTCCTGTCCTATTCAACACGCTCGGTTTTGGCAACGACGCCGCTCTCTACTCCGCTGTGGTCACCGGCGCAGTGAATGTGCTTTCCACCGTCGTCTCTATCTACTCCGTTGACAAAGTCGGCCGGCGAATGCTTCTCCTTGAGGCCGGTGTTCAGATGTTCTTATCTCAGGTCGTCATCGCCATCATCCTCGGCATCAAGGTGAAAGACCATTCCGAAGATCTGCACAAAAGTTTCGCCATCCTGGTCGTGGTCTTGATCTGCACGTTCGTCTCAGCCTTTGCCTGGTCTTGGGGCCCTCTCGGGTGGCTCATCCCCAGCGAGACCTTCCCTCTCGAGACTCGGTCCGCCGGCCAGAGCGTCACGGTCTGCATCAACTTGCTCTTCACGTTCGTCATAGCTCAAGCCTTCCTGTCGATGCTGTGCCATTTCAAGTACGGAATCTTCCTCTTCTTCTCGTCGTGGGTTCTGGTGATGTCGGTTTTCGTGCAGTTTCTGCTTCCGGAGACGAAGAACGTGCCGATTGAGGAGATGACAGAGAGAGTGTGGAAGAAGCATTGGTTCTGGGCTAGGTTTATGGATGATTACGCCATTAACGGTGAAGTTAACGGAAAGAAGAGCAGCAACGGCAACACGAAAGGCTCCGACCATTCCTCTGTGGTAAATATACAGCTGGGATTGGGTTTGGATTTGTGAAGCTGAGTCCCTGAGTATAATTCGTGTAATGTAATATTCTTCTCTCTTTTAACCAGTCGAAACAATTACATCAACAAAATACAAATACATTATCCAAGATTAAATGGATCAAAACAAGTTCGAATCTTTGTAGTTTGGTCGAAAATCTGATAAAATTTTAAATTAAAAAGAAAATTCAAATACATTGTTTGCTTTTGTAGTAAAGGAACAAAATTCAAAGAAAAAATAGTGCATAACACTTTCTGATTAGAATTAACAAATATAATATGAACTAAATAGAATTTATTTTTTATTAATGGAGAAAAAAGTTGTGGGAAAAGTGGAATTAGTTAAAAAAGCATGGCCATACACATACACTATACCATACCACCAATTGTACCAACAAGCATGGAGGAAGAGTGATGGAGAAGTAGATTTTGCTTTCTTTCTTTCCTTGCAAGTGTTTCAATGGCAATTATGAGAGACAGGTTATCAAATATATCTATTTATTTTCTCTCCCCCCCCCCCCGGGCTTTCATCATATTTATTTTATGTTAAGATTACAAATGTATCCACCAATAAACAAGTAACCAATCTTTTTCTGTATTTGCTTTTCCTTCCGTCTCCACATTAAACCAACTACCTTCATAATTATTACACATACATACATACATATATATACACACCTCCAGGAGGCATTCAGATACATAGAGAGAGAGAGAGAGTCTCACTCTATACGCCTTGAGAGAAGAAGAAGAAGAAGAAGAAGAAGAAGAAGAAGAAGAAGAAGAAGAAGAAGAAGAAGAAGAAGAAGAAGAAGAAGAAGAAGAAGAAGAAGAGGAAGAAGAAGAAGAAGAAGAAGAAGAAGAAGAAGAAGAAGAAGAAGAAGAGGAAGAATGGAGTTAGTGGGGGTGGTGGCGATGTTAATGGCGGCGGTGAGTATGGAGTTTGGGCTGAGCCAAGGGGCGATTCACAGAGTGGGTGACTCGGCTGGATGGACCACCATTGGCAACGTCGACTACAAGCTTTGGGCCTCTTCCAAGAACTTCCAAATCGGCGACACCATCTGTTAGTTTCCAGTCTTCTTCTTCTCCTTTTTTCTTTTCTCTTAAAATCCAATTCAAATTTCTTAATTACAAGTCCAGAAACATTATCAACACATTACTTCGGAGTTTGAGAGCAAAGGGTTCTTGGTTCTTGAAACCTATTCTCCCTCTCTCTCTCTCTCTCTCTCTCTCTCTCTCTGTTTCTTTGTGACGGAAACGTGGACCCCGACAGGGGAAAGTGTTGTCTCCGCATTTGTTTCCTTGGTGGAAAGTGAATTCAAATGACCGTCTTATACTTGAGGTTACCAAATAAGATAATTTATGAAAAAATCTCATCATTATTTATATTAGATAACACCAAGAACCCGTCATTAAGTTCTTTCCTGAAAGATCTTGTGATAATACTGTGAAAAAAAACAATTGTTTTTCATCAAATCTCATGGTATATGTGTTTGGCACCCAACTTGTGTTCATGTTCATTGACTTTCTTCCTGTCTAGGAGTTGACCCATTTAGACAAAAGCATTGTGTAGATACATGTCTATAAATCCACAAAATTCTGACCCAATGCAATATATATAATATGTGGTGTTTTTGAAAACAGTGTTTGAGTACAACCCACAGTTCCACAACGTGATGAGAGTGACGCACCCAATGTACAGAAACTGCAACACATCGAACCCACTCTCCACTTTCACCACCGGCAATGACTCCATCACTCTCACCAACCACGGCCACCACTTCTTCTTCTGCGGCGTCCCCGGCCACTGCCAGGCCGGCCAGAAGGTCGACATCCACGTCATCAACCTATCCACGTCATCACCACCCACGTCATCTCCCGAGCCACCGTCCACGTCAGCCTCCTCTCTCTCCCCCACAGTCCCCGCCTCGGGTGTCCCCGGCCCTTCGCCTAATCTTGCCCCTTCTCTCCCCACCGCTGCTGCTTCTGCGGTTGCGGCCATGGCCGCCGTCAGTGTGGTGGCTGCGATTCTTGTCGGGGATTTTGCGTTTTAGGACACGGAGTTGCGCACAGAGCTTCTTCATGCAAGAAGGCTTTACGTTATTTGTTTTTGTACCGTTTCTTTCTCCTTTCACTTTGATCACAGTATTATGATGTTTTCAAGTGTAGAGATGCTTTACCAATAAAAGATATGATCTGTGGTTATGAAAAGCAAATAGGGCGTCTTTGTCCTGTGCCAATTGCTTTGTCCAAATTTACCTTACGGACCAAGAAAGGAAACTGATGATTTCAGACAGCATTGGAGAGAGAAGCTTAATTAATTAGTCAATAGATCAGATCAGGGTGGATTTTTTACTTTGATTGCCAAAGAATTAAAGATTGTACAGTCGGTCCAAAATAAGAAAAAAAAAAATCTGTATGTTACAACAATAATCGCCTATATTCTGTTCATCCACACAAATAGACAGCTAATAAACAACACCAATCCTATCTTAACATCATCATCCTTTGTACGGGGGTTTGAGGGGGAAAACTCCAGACTCAAAACGGCAAAAAAATATTACCTTTGGAGAAGATTAGGACAGTGAACATATTCAACTGCTTTCTATGTTGTGTCCATTTAGCCTATCAGATCGTTTAGGAGCGGACGTGTCGTGTCTGAGTTTCTTGTCCACATTCCTCTCTCACCGTACTGAGCTCTGCGAGGGGAAAAAACGAGACAGAGGGGCATTAAGGGATGGCCGGAAGATCTAAAAGCAGAAAAGGACGCGAACTGATAACACCATAACCTAAATGCCGACGAGGTTTCGTCCAAGAACATTGACTACAGTATCAAGACATAAGTATGGGTAGCTAGAGACCTTACACTAGTTGCCTGTTGGAGCTCCATTGAGGAAGATTCCCCGTTTTCCTGCGTCAAAATCACAACGATAATTGCCATTTAGTTCAAATTTCCGTCATGAAAACAGAGTATTGCATCTACTGAACTTCAGAATGAATACCTCAATTAGCAAATCTTTTCTGGTGATCAAACCTATCACACGAGAAGGACGGGGGACGACAAATAGATGCCTCAACCCGAGTTGCCGGAAAAGGTTGTACACCTGAATCAACAACCCATTTGGGGATATTAAAGAGCTGCTTCTCAACATATCGCTTTCTAAACAATAATCATAGACAGAGTTTATCACCTTTGTCAGTGACATGTCTTCAGAAACAACATATGGAGATGGATTTAAAAATGGAGCAAGATCTATGTACATCTCTAAATCATCTGTAGTTAGATGTATATCATCTATGTTTATCCCTTTACTTGAAACGGGTTTAGCAAACTCGCTAAAATTGTGCCTGGAGGAAAGCATATTCAACTATTTGTTAGACAAAGTACAACTCCTCAGGTGCAGCACTTAGAATGTAAAAAAAAAAAACTAAATAAATATGAAAACCATTTTACCTGATAGATCTTGAACTTGGATCACAAGGCAAAGGACTGTGCTGAAAATCAACCTTTGATTGAAGGAGAACAAGCAAATGACTGCAATGGTGAACCAAACTCAGAATTCATATCTCCTAACAGATGACGAAACCCTTGCAAGTTAGAAACGTTTATGTAGATACACTAAAACTCACATACCTACGAAGGACTAAGCCAATGACAAGTGTTTCGCCGCTTCTTGTGTGATCAATTACCTAGTACAATGTCAACACGTACAAAAAATCAATACTAAGCACTATAAGTCACAACTCAAATACCAGAGGGAGAGAGTAAATTTACAGGAAATCCGTTGTGTGTATTGGTGCGCAAAATAGAATAAACATCTGCAACCTTGACAACTCGAGGCAAGGAAATGACCTTCAAGAACACAACAAGAAAGCAGTTATGTTGTGTAAGATATCGAACATGTGTCAAAGACCATCTATTTGTCCATTAACAGGAAACAGCTCCATTCCCTCTAGTTGAGGAGATACTATAGCTACCTTCTGAGTTTTGCATGCTTCCTTTGCAGTCATTTGCCGCATTTGGTACTTGGGTCTGGATTCCAGTAATGGAATGCCCCTCAGCCGTGCTTGTACTTCATATAATCCCTCATTGAAAGCATCACCAACAGCCTAAAAACTGATCAGATGAAGTGCATACTGGTGGAAATCAAGATGACAAATGATGCTCTTATAATGCATACCTTTGAGATCAGAAGAACCAGCATTATAAGAGGCAGAAGTTTCAGGTTGTTTGTGATTTCAACCATGATAACACATAAAGATACTGTCATCCTCATTGAGCCACCAAGAAAAGAAGCAGCTCCCAGCAAGGCATAACTAAGGTTCAAAGAGTTACTTTTGCTTCAGAATTTGATAAAAGAATAAATAAGAAGCTCAGCGGGTAAATCAAAGCAAGAAATGCTGCTACCACAATAAGTTCCAAGTCCTACAGAAAAAAAAAACAAGGGGAACAAATTACTACAGAAAGAGACTCACGTTCCCTCCTCTATGTTGAGCTTCTTGTAAAACCTGACGACAAACATGCCAACAAGGCGTCCATAAGTTGATCCTATCATTATTCCTGGAACAAACTGACCAGCAGGAACAGCAGTTCCGAATGTCACCACTGCTAACGTGTAAAACATAGCCTGCACAATTTTTTTTTTAAAAAGGACGGATGAATAATATTTGGAGACTATTGACAAGAAACAAATTCCAAGAAGAAATAAAGTGGTGGAAAACCACTTTTAAAATCATATCGGCAAATCTCTTATCCTCTTGCTAACATGCTTACAGTACACTGAAACTCAAACGCTATGAATATATATTTGCATGCGGACTTTAGATTTTGGACAGATTCTTTTAAGAACAACCCAACTGGAAGAATTCCGTACCAAAAAAGTCAACAGACTCTGAGCACTAAACTCATGCATTGTATTGGCGCTAAACAAATTCCGTATGGCATCATCCTGTCACCAAAACAAGAAGAAAGGATCCAATAAAAAACAACTAGCAGAAACCAGATACAAGAAAGTAAAAGAGGAAAAAACTACGATATTCCTTCAGGAAAAGGGGAAAAACCTGAGTATTGAAGAAAATTGTTGCAAGATCATTGTATTCCTTTTCTGTCTTGCAGTAGAACTGTGATTATCGAGAAAAACCAACAAGAATGCAAAGTCAGAAAGCTTGTCAGGTACAATGGCATTGCTGAAGTTCCAGGAATTGTTTATTCAGGTTTCTTAAGAAAACATCTGGTCAGTACACAGGTTGCTTAAGAAAACATCAAGTCAGTACATGATGTAAGTATTCTCATGAGTAGTTAACAGTTCATTAAGCATAATTAACAATGGCTAGTATCATCAATGAGCACCGCAAGCTCAAAGAACATCCATATGCCAGAGTCGCAATTGTAATTGACCTCTGTCAAGGTGTCTTACATTTACATAATTCCCATACATTCCTGGAGGCCGTGGACATTCAATACCAGAACCAGGATCTGCTTCAGGGCATGGGCTACACCTCCTTAGGAGGGGTAACCCAAATGAGATCGCTGAAGTTATACAGGAGATGATGCATGCTTCAATTATCTGAAAAAGTAACAATTTCATCCGCAGTTGCTTAAAGCCAGCAATGAGCTTATCAGACCAAAAAGACAAAAATACGCAGAGCCAAACCCATAAAAATGAAAATTTAAGATAGTAGCTCACTGAAGATTACCTTAACCCGATTGCCTTTCTTGTGCAAAGAATTCCGACGCCAAGATGTTATATAGAGGGTAAGTTGGTTGAACAATGCCCCTAGAGGAGTAAAATACCATGGGAAATGAAAGTGCCACAGAATGATAAATGGATTCAAAGCTATTTAAAAAAAAAAGAGCCTAACCAAGAAGGCCTCCGATAACTCCAATTACAGCCATCGGCAATAACTCCTTGAAGTAGTAGTCATCTTGGCCACTGCAAGAAAGGGAGAGAAAGGCATGTTTGAGTAAATTCCAGCATGCATGATCAAGCTATTTAGCATCAGAGACCTAAGAGAAATTAAGGCCCTTACTCAGATACGTCCCATATGATGAAACCACCTGCACCAAAGTGGCCACATTTTCCACTCTTGCACCATCCCATTGCAGTTCGAACCACAACAGCTACCACGGCTGAAGTGAAAAAGACACGCCACATGAGTTGACTTCTCCACCTTCAAGAGCACGAGCAGATTAATCTAAATGGACATATTGTTTACTGAGAATCACATTAACTACGATATCCCAAGGATAAATGCATTGTTGTGCGGCCACAGCAACTGGGGAAGAAATAGTACTAAAATAGACAGACAAAATTCCTAAGTTGTTTTTTTTTAATCGGAAACAAGACAGAATTCTTACTACTTCTAAACATGTGGTGAGGAAAAGAGCTTACCAAGAAGTGACCTCCTCTAGTGCAAATAACACTCCACCAACTGGAGCTCTAAAAGCAGCGGCAACTCCAGCTGCACATCCACAAGTGACCTTTCAGGGCACCAGAAAAAGTGGAACCATAAGCTTATCTAAAAGAAAACTTTCACTGCATCTTTTACAGCTGAAAGAGCGGATACAATTCTTAACAAGAAGCATCAAGGCACTCACAAGATCTCGTCGATCTCTGTCACTCTTGAAAAGCTGCGGCCAACGAGAATTCAGATGATATTTCGTAGATCCACCCTGAAAACACAGAAAACAATGGGAAGAAATACAGAAACCCGATGAAAAGACACCAATGAGTATCATGAAATGCAGCATTCAATCTCCATTTTCATGCCGATGGATCCTTACCTGACCAAGCAAGGACGCGATGCAGGCACCTGTATGTACAAGAGGACCTTCTTTTCCCAATGCTAAGCCACCGCCAACAGAACCGATGCTTCCAAATATCTACTAACAGAAATAGCTATAAAAATGCATATCCAAGATATAAAAATATGAGTTTCAAACAATAACATTATCCTCCACTAAAGTTCTATGCACCTTTCCAATGAGGGTTCTAAAGAGCAGGATCCCATGAATATCAATTCCTGCACAGTCAAATGCAAGAAAATCAAAGATAGAAAAATATAGGAAGCATAAACTATAAGCCAAATTCGATCAGACAAGTAGACTTACCATTCAGATAACCCTTAATCTCAGGAATACCAGAGCCGGCCGCAGCAGGAGCAAATTGGGTAATGATATACGCAGAAGAGAAGACTAGTGCGAGATTGATGAATACATAAACGATAAAGCCAGCAAAATACGACTTCTGGATGATGGAAAACGTGAGGGCAAATTTCCATCCGGCAAAATTCTCGACTGAGAGATTGATGAAAACAGCTGCCAATCCAGTACCTAAGACGAATCGACAAGAATCAAACCCAAATCTTCGATCCGAAAACTGAAAGATGACGCAGAGCACACAAAGACACATACCTATCCCGATGAGCAAAGAGAAAAACCATTTGACGGCGACATAGTACCCAACATAGAGCTTTCCTCGCTGCGCCTGAAGACCGAATACAATCAGCAGAGCAGAATGAAACAACAGGGAGAAAGAGAGAGAGAGAGACTTACCTGCTCTTCTCGGTAAGCGTAGTTCTCGACAACCTCGTAGTCGAGGCTCTCAACGCCGTCTCCATCGCGGCTGGAACTAAGCTGCTCGACGCCGTCGGCGGCGGAATCGTCGAATTCCGGGATACGAGACCAGATATGCTTGGCGGATCCGATCCCGTTCTGAAGATGATTCGACAACATAATCAAACCCTAGCGCTCCAGTGAATTTGGGAATCGATTTGAGCGCCGGAGGATTCAAACGGGTCTCAAATTCATTAGCTTCACCATTGCCGAGTTTGATCGATGATGATGATGATTCGATTCCTGAGGAGCTTTATTTATTCCTTGTAATTGGACTTGCCCTTCTTAATTACGACTGGATCCAGTAATTAATTATTAATGTTTGTTCTTACGATAATCCTGAAATAAATCGTATCTAATGAAAATAATTTTTTTTAAAAATTGATTTTTTTCAGAAATACGTCTTTTGTAAATAACAATCGAATTCGAAATTTCGAATAGGATGAAAATCAGCCTGAAATCTTATACACAAAACAAATATTTATTTATTTTTTCTAAAACAACAAAATCTGAAATTAAAACTAAAACAAATATATACAATTTTATAAGTTGTGAAATTAACGATGACAGAAGAAATATATATTTGAAAAGATAAAACTAACATGAAAATTATAGATATTAAGACACAATGGCGATCATAACATTTATTTCAAATTTTATATGTCAAAAAACTCGAGCTGAAACAATGGGTTTTGTGTGGAACCCAACCTTCTATTGAAATCTGAAAGTCAGTCGGGTGTAGCGAAACACTCTGGAAGATAAAGAAGGTTTGGAAGCCGCGGAATGAAGAGGAGGCTTTGGAGACACTGACTGAATCAGAGTGTTATCAATATAGTTATTTTGGATTGAAAAATTATTAACAAAATCGCAGGAAAACGAGAATTCAAAATATAAAATTAGAAAAAGTACTTATATCTATAACCTTTTTTATATTTTTTATTATAAATATTTAGATCTTTCATCTATCTGGATTTTTCATTGATTTTTTTTAGAGAGTAGCTTATAAATTAATTTTGGATTTCCCCCCCTAATTTATTGAATCAATGACGTGAAAATTAGTAATGGCCCTACAATCAAACTTAGTTTTAACAAAAATTAATGATAGAAAGCTTAAAAACCAAAGTTCTCGTTGACAGATTAATCAAATCCCTTTTACGGTCAAAACGAAGGGTTTATAAATGATAAAAAAGTGCAGATGAATCTAGAAAGGCTATCAGCAATTGATTATTCAGACGGTCCACTGTATTCCTATCTTTATTGTCATTATTTAAAATTTATTTTTTATATGCATGCATGAGAAGAGGGCTCCGAGCTGACCATCTTTTTTTTCGGCTCTGTAACAAAAAAAAAAAAAAAAGATCAGCGAGAGAGGAGATGAGACGTGAACGGCGTCTGCATAAGTCGCCCGACGCCGTTGATTTCCCGAGCAATAAATATTCCGGCGGACGTGTATCCGCCGTCTCCGTCGCCCGAGGGTTGTCGGTTTTCTTCTCTGGGAACCTTCGGCGCCCGAAACGGGAAATTTACCCCGCGAGCTCCCCCTTCATCGATGAGGTCATCGCCGAGCCACTCCGGTGTTCTATCCTGCTGGAGCGGTTTTCCGGCGGCAGAATCCGTCGACGGAGGAAGTAACGTCTCTTCGATGGAGGAATTGCATGGTGCGATCCAAGGGGCCATTGTACGTCATTGCAAGAACTCGGTGAGGCAGAAGAACAGCAGTTTGGTAATTAGTCCTGAAACATAGTCTCCAATATTAAATTTTAGCTTCTTAATACATTTAATCGAAACCCATGTCTCCGATTCACGTAATAATGCTCGTCGTTTTTGCAACAATATACGCCGTACCATCGAGAAACATAATCAAGAAATAAAATAGATCCTAATCACATGAAATATTGATCGTCGTGTACTGGTTATACGGACGATGTTAAAGTTTGTGTAGAACCCTTTTTAAGACAGCGTAGATCGATCAATAAGTAAAATTCGACGGTCTCTACGTGTAACCATTTTTTTTTTTTTTGCATGGTAATAGAAAAAAGAAAAGTCAAAACAAGTATTGCATGTGGACATCCGATTGAGGAACGTTATACGCATGCAAGACTTTATAGGAGAAGCACTGATCCGAAAACGACGGTCGTTATTTATTGTAAATATTTAATGATGGACGCGAATATCTACGAGTACGTAGTTATCTGTGTAACTTCCATGTCCAAACAGTTATATAGACTGTCGGTGTTCTCAATCGGTCTACGTGATGACGTGTGCTATGTGCTGTTTAGGGTTTTTGTTTTGTGATCTATCGTTGAATGTCGAGTACAAATTCGTGTATTTCAAGAGGTTGCAGCATCAACGAGAATCACTTAAATGTATCAAATTAACATTGTTGCAAGATGAAACTCAATATCGAGATTTTTAAATAAATATATCAGAATCTAATCCATACAATTTTGTACTAATTGACTGTGTTTTATTTGTGCTACCACCATTGTACATTTACGCTACGTCCGGAACCAATCTTTGTATATGGACCATTTTGATCCAAAAATTATATCCATCTCCACCAGTGGAATCGAACCCAAGACTTTGAAGATGACTTTATCACCTTTCAATCATTGGACCACCAGCTATTGGGTAACTATGTGGACATTGTTTACATCTTTGTAGCATTATATATATATATATATATATATATATAATATCAAAATTCAAATACGGTTGAATTATTCAAGTAGTTTGTGAATATCGAAATTCACCCATGGAAATTGGAAAAATTGGAACAAAATAGCTTAAAACACATAGATGATATAATTAATAAGATGTGAAATTTGGAAATATATATTTTGTCTAGTCCATTACTTGGGAAAATGGGAGAGTATAAGAATGAAGGCGAAAAAACGAGGAATGAATAGGTCTAAATTTACTTGAAAACGAGTTATTAGAAATGACTTGGATATGTTATAAATATCGGAAAATATGACGCAAAATCGAAATGAATAAAAAGAATAATTCATGCGGACGACCCCAAATAAATTTGGAATTAATGCCATGTTGTTGTTGTATATTTCGTCTAGTCGGTCTTAAAAACTACAATAGATGGCCTGCTTAATCGGATCAACGTCGTCTCTAATAAAATTTAAATAAAATATTTTGATGATTTTTAAATATTCCAGTTTATCTATTTTTAACGTCCCACTACATAACACATTGCATGAAAAAAAAACAAACTAAGAAGTTATTTTGTGCAATCAAATCAATGTGATATACAAGCTAGCATTCGTTTCGTGGCATAGAGGCTCGACCATATTATCCACAATATGCATATTATATTATATATATAGATATAGATGTATGCGCGCGTGTGTGATAATGTGAACGTTACTACTATGAAATTATCATGATCAATAATGGAGGATTTATGGGACCTTATGTTTGTCTTCATTTATGTCTGAATATCGCGAATTTCGTACATATCCAAGGACCGTCCAATAAAAAACTAAATATTTAAAATTGCTTTGTAGTTTTGAAAATGTTTTGACTCGCGCTTTAATCATGTTTAACTCCCAAAGTTTTTAGCTCATGTGACCACCATATATTCCATCTGGGGTTAGAATACGAAAAAATAAAAATTCCATCGTATAGTAAATAAAATTTATTTTAATAAATCGGATATCTTATATCAATATTTAGATTAATCTCCAAATCTGATAATATAATTATGTGACAATATATTAATGATTAAAAGCGATCATCTGATTTTGTTTAATTCGGTTTATTTTTTTATACAGTTCGATACACAACATTGAATTTTAAAAGAATTTAATCAACATAATATTTATAAAATTATTAAACCGAATACCATAAAAAAGAATCAAATTAAAAAAAAAAAAAAGATTGCATGAACAATGATTGAATGATAAAAACACTGACACGTGTTTAGTATGATACTCTTTGTAACATCGTTGTCTCACTCACTTATACTGTTATAAGCAATGCCATGTAATAATTTTCGCATTTAATAAAAAAAGGACAAAAGAATCAGATCTACCTCTCTGTGTCTCCCAATCAATGCGTAATTAATTTGGTCATACGCTGTCTAATTTAATTAACTGTGAACATTTGCCAAAACGAGCCAGTGGTCCTACCAATAATAGAGAGAGAGAGAGAGAGAGAGAGAGACGCCATGAAACCTGCAACTCAATGTGCCTACACGTACATGCATGAGCATGACCTCTCCTTCATCGGTTCCATTTTATTTTATTTAATTTTCATTTTATATACTAAGCTTTGGAAGAAGACTTTCAAATGTAAAACAGTGTATTTATTAGCTGTCGGTCCTTTACATGCCACTTGGCTCTCGTATACGACAAAGTTCCTGAGAGGATATTTGCGGAAAGAATATGTATATGTTTTGTTTTTTTTATTTATTTATTGAATGAGTGAACGGGTAATCGGAATTAGTTAAAATTTTCAATTGTTTAACGAACATCACCGAGAAGAGATGGGAAAGCTGCTCAATTGTCACATGGCGACGACACGGGGGTCATGTGATGACATGTGTTCGTTTTCATCATTATCATGATCATGATCATGATCATCATCATCATCATCATCTCCTTTTTTAGAATCAAGAAAATGGGCTTTGCTTCTATTCGTCTCTCCATGTGATAATCTAACGTAAAATATTTATTATATCCTTAATTATCCTCCTCGATCTCAAAGGTTAATTAATCACACTTGGTTTCATCATCATCTCTGTGAAAGTTTTGTCTTCTTGCGTTCCCGAACATGTCCATGTGATGTTTCCTCTTATTCTAAACACCTTATTACCTCACTCTGCTTCTTCTTTTTCAGACCGCTCTCTCCTCTTCTTCTCTCTTTTTTTAACCTGTCCTCTCCCCAATCCTTTGTCTCTGATCATTTACTCACTTCCGTATATACAACGTTCTCTGTAATCTCTAAGCAGATTAAGCGTACGGTAACTGTACTACGTACTACAATGGCAGTGGCTTCTCCGGAGGCTAAGGTGGCGGTTGCGGCGGACCTACCGCCGTCGAGCCCTCGTATTTCCTTCTCTGCCGACTTTTCCCGCGACAACGACGGAGACGGAGACAGCGACGGCGACTTCATCTGCATCAGACCTGTCGTGGGCAAGGAGGAAAAGGAAAAGGGTCAAGCGAAAGTCACCGACTTTGAGTTCCTGTCGGAGAATGCGAACTCCGGCCAGGCCATGATGACGGCCGACGAGCTCTTCTTCGAAGGAAAGTTGCTTCCTTTTTGGCAGATGCAGCAATCAGAGAAGCTAAAGGGAGTGAGCATCAAGACAAAAGAAGGGAACGAAGAGCGAGTTGGCGAAGAAGACGATCGAGGGATGGAGACGAACAAGGACAAGGAGGACAGAGTGAGCTGGTTTCTGGACGACGACCCATCTCCAAGGCCGCCCAAGTGTACGGTCCTCTGGAAAGAGCTCCTGAGACTGAAGAAGCAAAAGGGTCGTGCCTCGTCGTTGTCTCCGTCGTCGTCATCGTCGTCCACGTCATCGTCGTCGAGCTCACTGGGGGACGCGGCGAGGAAGGAGGAGAGAGAGAAGGAAGGGAAGAGAGGGAAGAAAGGGTTGGTGAGGACGAGGTCGTCGAGTATGAGGATAAGGCCAATGATCAATGTCCCTATTTGTTCTCATCCCAAGTCGTCTTCTTCTCCACTGCCTCCTCTCTTTCCACTCTCTCTGAAGAAAGGAAGGGTAGACAGACGCTCTTAAAAAAGTCTTCTCCTTCTCTACTACATACATGTCTCTGTTGTTTTTTTCTCCTCTCTCATTTCTTTCATTTGTTCAGATTCTCGAGTGTTCTTTCTCTTTTTGTCTCTGTATCTACTCTTTGATTGAGTTTGTGACTAAGCTTTGATTAGATGGGGTATGTGTTCTTTTGAAGTTTCATGATGTGTGACAGTGTAAATTCATTGACGTTTTCATACAATAATTAACAGGAACCAAACAAACACAGACACAGACACACTTATCTATCAAATCCTTGACAAAGGTTTATTATCAAAATGTGAAGCTTTGGACAAATGGGTTCTGTCATTTGAGTAATTAAGATGTGAAAAATGTGGAAACAGAGACTCAGACACACTAATCTATCAAATCATTGACCAAAGGTGTATCAAAATTCGAAGCTGTGATCGTGCCATTTGAGTAATTGAGATATGAAACTGCGGGAACAGTCTGTTGTTTCTGGTGAATGATGAGAGATGGGCACATGCAAGATGCAGACTTCTCCTCTGTAGGATTTTTTGACTTTCTCTTGGACCTGGGACCACTCCCACCACTACTTACTACCCTCTGTTGTCTGTACCTGCATTTGTTAAAAACACTACATCTGGTTCAAAGGCAAAATGCAGAGGCTCAAATATCACATCTCTTTCCACGCTTTCATCTTCTCATCTCATTACACAAACATGAAGTGGAAAACAGTTCAATGAACAAAAGAATGAAGAGTTTTTGTCACGAGTACAGTGTATAAAGACTTTTTGTTCTGTAATGACCATTCGTGAGTGAGGTATCTACTTGCACACCGGAGGCTACAACACACAAAGCACAAATTCTCGTCCATGCCAAGAGACATGTGTAAAAGACTTTTCTTTCTCCTTTTTTTCTTTTTTACATATAGTCTCTTCTCGTTAATGACAGCTCAACTCGGAGGCGGAGGCAGAGCCAACAACGGGTTGCCGGAAGTCCTGACGCATGACAAATTGAATCATTAGTATTGGCCGCCAGTTCAAGGAGGGGCTTAAAAGTACAGAGTTCATGAGGGAAAAGCTCACTTGGGAACTTTGTGACTTACCTAAGGTCCAGTCCTGGTTTCTTAAGAAGGTTGCTTGGAATTTGGCCCGTTAGGTTATTGTTTTGCAAAAACCTGGTTATCAGAAAACAATGCAGCAGTCAGTATTCATGGTTACAAACCGGGAATAGCCCAATGACAATAGACAACCATTCTCTATCCATTTTTTGTCAACAAAATTATAACTATGATAATAGTCTACGGAGGAGGAGATTCAGTGAGAATACACACGAGAATTCGATTTTCTTGTCAAAGGACATGAATTTTGAGAGCATAGCAGACAACATGCAACAATTGTCGAAAATAATCTAGACAATGATCAGTAGGCCAAATAGTAACATAAGAATGAAACTTACAGCTCTCTCAGGTTCTGCATTTCTCCAAATGAAGGAGGTATGTTTCCAGTGAACCGATTGTTTTCCAAGTGCCTTATAAATAGTGGAAACAGGACAGGATTAGCTTAGGACTATCTGTTGAATTATGACAACAGTTTCGGAATGATCAAATCATGCAAGAGAACATTTATAAAAGTATTCACTCACAATGATTCAAGCAATTTGAGTGAACTGAGGTCAGGTACGGGTCCTGAGAGAGAGTTGTTCCCCAGCCAACTGTTCATAACATAATAATATTAAGTGGTAATCCATGCAGTACAGAACTAATCGATGAATGGTTGAGGCACTCACATGGCAGACAATGCTGTTAAGTTGGCGACTTCAGGAGCTAATGAACCCGAAAGGCCCATATTAGTTAAGTTCCTAGTAACACAATGAACCAACTTATGTCAGGAAAACACAAATGGTGCTTCTAAAGCACAAAATCCCTGAGTTTGAATTCAATTCAACTCACAAACTGACTACGCGAATACGGGAGCCTTCAGAACATGTGACACCAGTCCACGAATACTGTCGAGGAAGACAAGGATCACCATTCCAATCAACTGGTGGGTTCTGCAGACTGTTTTTAATTGCATTTAGAGAAGTTGCTGCAAGAGCCAAGAAAGATGATTCAACATCATGCCGAAAGATATGCACAAGTTTACACACAACAATCGTCAATAATTTTAAACTTGCTATCTTACCATCTCGTACAAGGGCTTTTCCTTCAAGGGGAATCAGCTCAAACATTTCACCACCATTGATGAGGGGTCCCAGGGTTGACTCCCTGCTAGGATTTAGAGTTAACATTGTAGTCCCATCGAGAGGCCATCGGGTCGAGAAGACAACTGCGCCGGCTGGAGTTACATTCAAACTCCTATAATATGTTATACCGTTGAGGGTTATGTCAATGATCCTGGATCCCTCAGCCAATGAGTCAGAATCATGTGCAAAGTATAGGGCGATATAATAAGTCGACTTTGGTAAAGCTGTTGGAGGCCATATGAACTTTAGAGGCTGAAGCTGTGTAGATTTAAGACCCGTGTTGAATATCCTCGGAGGCGGAAGGTTCCAGAAACCAGAAGCCTGCACTTTCCTATTGTTCGGTATCGTAGAATTGAACGCGTAAGGCTCCCAAAACCTATCAAACTGATCATCTGGAGACCTGAAATCACCACATTTTCATATTGACCTGTAAACACCACGTTTTCACAGATTAATCGGAACTATTCACGATCCCCACCCGAGTTATTGACTTCATTGCATTCATTTTCTCAGATTCCATGTTCGAAATATTGCTGCGTTTAGGAATTTGCTAGAAACCCTTATAGGTCACAATACAGAAACTTTCCTGTAAACAACGCATTTTTCACGGATTAATCAAAAGTTCATCAAACATAGGCGGATAAACCTTTCTTTACTGATTACATTGCTTTCATTTCCGCAGATTTTATGTCCAAATTAAAAATGTATTTGGAAATGTTTAAAAAACCCCTAATAAGCAACAAAGCAGAAATTTCTAAGCAATTGATTGATAAGATCAGAAACGGAGTAAACTCACCGGATGAGCGATCCGCTGTAACCAAAAGCGTGCCTGGCGACGAGACGCAGCCCGAAACCTGTGAAATCGGTGGAATTGTAAAGGGAACCATCCAATCTGACAATTTCCAAGGCAGAGATAAAGGGGTCGGAAGTAGTATAAGAATTCCCGGCAACGCAGACGCTCATAGATTTTCCCTGCGCCACGAAAACCCCTTCATAGTAGGACGCGAGGCCATCTGCGTAATCGGCGGTGGTGTTGACTACGCTCCAAACGGTGCCGTCAACAATCTGATCGAACACCGGCGGCGAATTAACGCCGTTAACTTCGCCGTAAAAGTAGGTCGTCCTGATCATGTACTTCCATCCTCGGGAGACGCCGACGACGTAGCAGAATTTCCGGCGAAGGCCACCGGTGAGAGGGAAGGATCTGACGGTGGTTAAGGTACGGTCGAGGAGATTCCCGGCGGCAGTGATGTTCTTCGGTGTTCCTGCGAATACGAACCCCTCGTCGGGGAGCCATCGACGGCCGTCAATGACGGAGGGGGCAAAGGCGCCGCAATCGATCAGAACGGCTGCGAAATTCGAAATAGGGTTAGGGCTTTATCCATATACATACACATAAACACGTACCAGGGATAGAGAGAAAGACCTGAGGGAGAAGAGAGCTGAGAGAGGGAGGAGGAGAGGAGAGAGAGGAGGAGGAGGAGACGGAGATGGGGCATTGTGGCGGAGACGGCGGACCAAGAGAGAGAGAGAGAGAGAGAGAGAGAGAGAGAGAGAGGGTTTAGGTGGGGAAAAGGAGGGTTGACCCTCCACGATGGTGAGGAATGCAAGAAAGGAACAAAGAGGAACAAGACGTGTCCTCTAATTCGCTCTTTTTCGATTTTTTCAAATCTCTCCCTCTCACTCTCTCTCCGTTATTTCTGTTGTGAACGACGCGGGAATCACACGGCCCGTAGGCCCATTTAAAGGGCCCGTTACAGGCTCATAACATGGCTTGCATTTGCTGGCAACTTCTGTCGGCCCGGCAATTACAAGGACATCGATTTTTTTTCATTTCTCCTTTTTTCGCAGTCCATGTAAGAAAATATATATATATATATATATGTATATAGATGCTTCCGAGTTCCTATAATAATGAGCTATCGTCAATTCCATCTTCTCTTTTCCATTCACTTTATTTTTTTTGCCATTGCTTATTGAGAGCGAGAGTGTGACATGGAGGGTGGGGGATACAAAGCGTGCCCTTATCTTGCAGGATTTCATCTCTCTTTTGTTTACATGTAAAGATTAGGTAATGGCATTGTTCAAACACGTCTACATTGTGGCAGACCACAAAGGTATATTCAAAAGCCCTCTTATATATATATATATATATATATCATGTATGTATGTACAAAAGCCCACAGAGAGCCTCAACCTTGACGTGGGACCATCTTTTCTCCCGTTTTCCTTACACATCACGCGCACGTTAGCAAAGCCCCTCGCCGCCGACGGCTGGCGCCTGGTTGGGTTATGACCTTCCGACCGGAGCGCGAGTTAGCATTGACATTAGAGAATACCTAAGTGATGTATCTATTATTTGTTTTGGTAATTTATTCCGGAAAGGTATTGTTACAAACCTAAAGAAATAAATAAACTACCGTTTAACAAAAAAAAATAAAAATAAAAAAATAAATAAACTAATATCTGATATTAAAATTTATAGTTTTATGATTTTGAAAATAAGACCTGTGATTCAGAACCATCTTTCCATGAACCTATATCCAGAACGATGGTTTTTTAAGTAAGTATATATTTCAATAGTTTAATATCTGAATATTGAAGTACACTTTACAGTTTTATATATTTTTTTTACATAATAGGAAAAAAAATATAATTTGAACGAAAAGAAAGAGAGGAGAAAAAAAAGATAGAAAAATGTTAAAAAAAATAATAATCATAATGATTTCGAAGAAAATATTTTAATCTCACTCCACAAATCAGAAAAAAAAAGAAAAAAGAAAATAAAAAGCGTACGTTTTGTTCGAAGGCAAATTCCGAAAATACCCCTGATCTCTTTCGGCGTGGATTCAAATCCGCTGTTTTCTTTGTCTGATCCTCTTCTCCGAGTTCTCGTTGTCTGGGGAGAGAGAGCGAGAGAGAGTTGTGTGAATGATGGAACAACTACCGGAGAGGCGAGACGACCATAGCCTCCCGGAGCGTAAGGGACAAAAGAGAAAATTGGACGGCGGTTGCGGCGAGGAGCCAGAGATCTCCGCCGTTACCGCCGACGGACGCGCCACGATCCTCGCAGAGGTCGCCGCTCAGGTCGCCGTTCTCAACTCCACTTTCTCATGGAACGAGGCCGATCGTGCTGCTGCCAAGCGCGCCACTCAAGTCCTCGCCGAGCTCGCCAAGAACGGTCAAGATCAGACCCGATCTCTTCCTACAGAAACTTTCCTGTAAACAACGCATTTTTCACGGATTAATCAAAAGTTCATCAAACATAGGCGGATAAACCTTTCTTTACTGATTACATTGCTTTCATTTCCGCAGATTTTATGTCCAAATTAAAAATGTATTTGGAAATGTTTAAAAAACCCCTAATAAGCAACAAAGCAGAAATTTCTAAGCAATTGATTGATAAGATCAGAAACGGAGTAAACTCACCGGATGAGCGATCCGCTGTAACCAAAAGCGTGCCTGGCGACGAGACGCAGCCCGAAACCTGTGAAATCGGTGGAATTGTAAAGGGAACCATCCAATCTGACAATTTCCAAGGCAGAGATAAAGGGGTCGGAAGTAGTATAACAGAGGATTTAGTGAACGTGATTGTCGAGGGAGGGGCTGTTCCAGCTCTCGTGAAGCATCTCCAGGCGCCGACGTCCGGCGACGGAGACGCGGCTCAGAAGCCGTTCGAACACGAGGTCGAGAAGGGAAGTGCGTTTGCTCTTGGTCTTCTTGCGATCAAGGTTCTTGATCCTCTCCTAACTCTTGTTGCTACTTATGTGGTGTATGCTTGTATGTTGTCTTGTTGAAAGCTAGTCGTTTTTATGTCTTTTGCTCAAAATTTAGTGAGAAATTGAACTGTGCCTTTTGGAGGAACCAAAGGCCTTGTATAATTCGTGTACTATCTAAAGATTTTTATGGTGTTGTGGAATCGACTGGTTACAGCCAGAGCATCAGCAGCTTATAGTAGATAATGGTGCCTTGCCTCATTTTGTGAATCTATTGAAGAGAAACAAAGATGGTTCTAGTTCTCGAGCTGTTAATAGTGTTATCAGAAGAGCCGCCGATGCCATCACGAATCTGGCTCATGAGAATAGCAGCATCAAGAGCCGTGTTAGGTCAGCATATTTAAGTGGCTTTATGCTTTCGAGGTTGGCATCCAGTACGATCTCACTCATGATTTCCGGTTCTGGACGAGCAGGGTAGAAGGAGGTATTCCACCTCTTGTGGAGCTGCTCGAATTTGCCGATACTAAAGTTCAGCGAGCAGCAGCAGGGGCGTTGAGAACCCTTGCATTTAAAAATGATGATAACAAGAACCAGGTAAATATCCTTTTCTTACAGTTTAAACTTTTTATAGGAGGGGGCATGACAAAAAATAAAACTTCTATCGCAGATAGTTGAATGCAATGCTCTTCCCACTCTCATACTAATGCTAAGATCAGAGGATGCTGCTATACATTATGAAGCGGTGAGGTTTTAAAGGAATTTTTTATTGCTTTGAGATTTTGCTGGGACTCAACTATTCTGCTGTGTAATCTATCTATTGGAAACGACACTGGATTAATAGCATTTTTGTCCTGCCTTCAGGTTGGTGTTATAGGAAATCTGGTTCACTCCTCTCCGAACATTAAGAAAGAGGTTCTGGCTGCTGGTGCTTTGCAGCCTGTCATTGGTCTTCTAAGGTATGTGAACACATGGCATTTTGATTTACAAGGCCAGACATGAAGCATATGACTTCAATTAAGCATAAAAAACTAAATTAGTGGCCAAAGGATTTCTGTGAGTGTCACTTGCATTTAAATTTGCTAACCATTTTTCTTCTTAAGCTGATGTGATGCTGCTACACCCTGTTTCGTTTTATCTTTTATGATTGTTCTTGTGATTACTTAAATTTTTCTTTTGTTAGCTCTTGTTGCCCTGAGAGCCAAAGAGAGGCAGCTTTGTTGCTTGGACAATTTGCTGCAACTGATTCAGATTGCAAGGTATCATTTCCTTCCCCGATATACATCTTCACTTCCGGGGCTTTTTAAGGGTTGGATTTACCTATTGTCAATACTAAAAAAAATGTAAGTATCATGTGCTGCCTCTTTTGTTGTTTGGAGACAAACCCTTTAGGTAATTAGCTGTTTGCTTTTGTAGATCTACTGAAAATGCTTCCGCAGTTAGTTGCATCATTTTATTAATCTTCAAATATTTCCGGTAAATAGTGTTCTTTTCATTTCATCCTTCAAAATGAAAATTTTCCAGGTGCACATCGTGCAGAGGGGGGCTGTGCGTCCTTTGATTGAGATGCTTCAGTCACCTGATGTTCAGTTGCGGGAAATGTCAGCATTTGCCCTGGGGAGGCTGGCACAGGTTATTATTTTGGATTTGGTCTGTTAGTCAGAAGAGTTGGGATATATTCCTCTTTGGCACAGTGAAATTGAAACTTCTTCGCTGAGCTGTGCGTTTGTAATACTGCCAGATGGAATTATTGATGCCGTGGTTGATTTAAAACTGAATTATATTAGCTTCTTTGTCAAATGATTGTAGTCATGCAATGGATATTTACTGTTTCTGTGGTTGTCTGTTGTTTTCGTTTTGGATCACTTTTGCGGTTTCCAGATTCATTTGTTTTACAAAATACACCGAGGATTCTGATTTCCTTGCTTTGCAATATAACCTTTCTATATTTATTGCTGTCTATTATGCTCCGTGTTTTTTAAACTGTTGAAGTAGCAACAGATGACTTTCACCTTTTGGATTGTATCAAATATGAAGATCGATTGTAACGCCTTTTCTTCCAGGATCCGCACAACCAAGCTGGTATTGCTCACAGTGGTGGTTTGGTACCATTATTAAAGCTGCTTGATTCAAGAAATGGCTCGTTGCAACACAATGCCGCTTTTGCTCTTTATGGCCTTGCTGATAATGAGGTATGTTGTATTTTATACACCATAAGTTTCTCTTCACCAAGATGCAAAATCTTGATTGCACAACTCATTAAATGCTTTATTGATGTATTCTTCTTCCCCTAGGATAATGTGTCCGATTTTATCAGGGTGGGAGGTGTCCAGAAGCTGCAGGATGGGGAATTTATTGTTCAAGTATGTTCAACACTGTTGCACTTTGTCTTCTTTTTATTTATACCATTAAGAACCGCATTGGTAGCTTAAGTTTATCTGTTTTGAAACTTGGAATGTTTATAATAGATAGCGTTCTTGTAGGCAACGAAAGATTGTGTTGCCAAAACATTAAAGAGATTGGAGGAGAAGATTCATGGAAGAGTGAGTAAAATTTTGCCCTGCTTTAAATTTCTGTTCCTTTTCCAGTGATGGAATCATATAGAATGGATTATTTGACGAATTCCTTTAGCTTGTTCTTGGTTCTGCAGCTCTTTTTAAGTTTTTCATTTCCTGTATTGAACCCATGATATTCTGAATCTGTAGGTTTTGAAACATCTGCTGTACCTAATGCGTGTTTCAGACAAGCCCGTCCAGAGACGAGTTGCTCTTGCTCTTGCACATCTTTGTTCCCCAGAAGATCAAAGAGCCATATTCATCGACGGGAATGGCATGTGACAATCTTTTTTATATTTTCTTAGATAATCAAAAGGGTGTTGGCTTGGTCTTCTATTAGTCTAAGGTGCTAGTGATTGTTTTTGGATCGGGGCTCATAAAAGTATATATTGAGTACTATAAACTATTCTGTTACAGGAATGGATTTGCTTCTTGGTCTGCTTGGATCTACAAACACAAAGCAGCAACTTGATGGTGCTGTTGCACTGTACAAATTGGCAAATAAATCGATGACACTTTCTCCTGTCGATGCTGCACCTCCATCTCCAACACAAAAGGTGTGTTTCCTTTTCACTGCAATCCTCAGTCATTCTCTGTAATTGGGAGACATCTCAATTCAGAAGTTCATCTTTTTTCTCACAGGTTTATCTGGGAGAGCAATATGTAAATAATGCCACGTTGTCTGATGTAACCTTTCTAGTTGAAGGTATACATTTGGATTTGCTAACTATGTTTACAGCAATTTTCTTATCATGGAAATTCATATATGGAGAACAAAAAATAATCATGTTTCAGGTAAGAGGTTCTACGCTCACAGAATTTGTCTGTTGGCATCTTCAGATGCATTTCGTGCAATGTTTGATGGTGGTTACAGAGTAAGTGATCTTTGAATTTTTAGGCGACAGCTCCTCGTGTTTCTCTTTCATAGGTCCTTGTGGTAGCAAATGATGGCTCCTGCATCACACTTTTCCAGTTACTGTATTATATGATTGTCTATAGTAGAGGGTTTATTATGCTTCTACTGGTATCTTTTGGCATGGTATTGGGAAGATGCAGTTTATCCAATACTTGACTAGAAAGATGAATACTATATCCTTAATACCTGTGAATGAGTTTATGCTCTTCTGCTCCGTATCATGGGAACTCGGAAATCTGTATATTTGCCAGCAGTAGGGTTACAAAAGTATCTTACTCAGTTTGTGTTTGTTTACACTGCAGGAGAAGGATGCAAGAGATATTGAGATTCCAAATATCAAATGGGAGGTTTTCGAGCTAATGATGAGGTATTACAAACTTGTCCGATCTTCTCTGGTTACAGTTTGCACATCGGTAGCCGGCTTGAATGGAGAATCTCGGCAACAGGTTTATATACACGGGATCAGTCGACATAACAATGGATATAGCACAAGATCTTCTAAGAGCAGCAGATCAGTATCTCTTGGAGGGGCTCAAGCGTCTATGCGAGTACACCATTGCACAGGTAAGCAAAAAAAACAAAAAAAACAGCAAAGTGAAAAGCGTGAATTGAGGATTAATGAGTAAGCTGACAAAAATGTTGGAATTTGAATGGAAGGATATAACGTTGGAAAACGTAGGGAGCATGTACGAACTCTCAGAAGCATTCCATGCGATGTCGCTGAGGCAGGCTTGCATCCTGTTCATCCTGGAGCATTTTGATAAACTGAGTTCGAGGCCCGGGTAAATAATCTTTCCTTCACGATCCCACCCCGCCATCTGGATCATGTGATTATACTTCACGAGGATCCTGATATAATTCGTTAACATTAAGATTTTGGTTTAGTGGCGACCAAGTAAATGGGTTTGATTTCCATTGAACTATTTCGCCTGGACTTGCCTTGGCTGGTTGTGTTTGTCTTTGAAAATAAAAAATAAAAACGTGCAGGCATAACCAGCTGGTGCAGCGAACAATCCCGGAGATACGCAACTATTTTTGTAAAGCTCTCACAAAGTCTAACCACCTCCAAAGCTTGAGGCTGTAGAAGAGGGAAGACGACGTCGTTTATCAGTTCATCCGTATCTGATTTTTAGCTAACTCAGTCAGTCAATTCACGTTGTGCAGAAGAAGAAATTAGGTCCTTTATGGTCGGAGTTTTTTTTAGTAGCTTCATATATCATTTAAAAAAAAGCACATGTTTTTGTCAGTGTCATTTGTATTGTTAGTTCTCGTCCGAATGGTCACGAAGAACCAGCTGTTGTATCAGACCCGATTTTAGGAAACCTTCCAGGACACTGAGAAATAGAGACACAGGCCAATCTTCCCAAAACCCTCGATCACCTCTCTTAATTTTATCTTGATAACGTTGAGTACTTATAAAAAAAAACACAACTCATTTGGTTTCCGAACATAATGCGTCCATTTTAATCATGTTTCAAGATGTCGTTTTTTCTATACCTTTATTTTGTAACTAAGTTTCGGACATCAACTCAGACATTTAGAGAATTACTTTACACCCATTCATCGTTTATCTTTGAGATATTAGCAAAACTATGGCTGATTCGAAGTCAACCTTATCAATCATATATATATATATATATATATAATCAAATGAAGAAGATCCATTTAAAATATATACATTAATTGACATTTATTAAGGAAAAAGTGAAGAACATTTGGTGTTTACCTTCTATTTGAGACATGCTCTCTGTAACTCTGCTGCCGGAAGAAAAAAAAAGTCAGTAGTTTTGTTTAATTTAATATATACGTATATATAAACGGAATTATTTTATGAAATGAATTTTGGGTTCAGTGGGGAGTAAGATTAAAGGGACTCTCGGTGAATCTTTCTCTGTGCCAAACCCTAACTCTGCTCACTCCGCAGCCAGCCACAGCTCCTGCCTCCTCAGGACAGGTAATGCTCTCGTCTCATTGCGTCAACCACTCTGCTCTGCTTGTTTCTCTCCTTTTTCCAGTCGTCGGCTTATTGGATCTGATGTTCTGATGTAGCTTCTACAACTAGTTGTCGGAATGTTCACCTGATATGTCTGCTCCGAGCGGCTGATCCCTTAGCTGTTGTCTCCGATGTTTTGATAGATTGTCCTCGATCTGTGTTCATCTCGTTTTCCTTTTTTTTTCCTCTGGAAAAGGCTTCAGTGTTATAGTTTTATCGATCTATGCAGTGTCCTTGTTCGTCGTTTTCAACCATTTCTTTGGCAAAGTATGCTTTTATGATCCACCCTGCTTCGCAACTGGGATCTGCGGAGGATAGAGTGCTTGTGTTCTTTGGATTCAATGCCTTCAACTCTAGAGATTCCAACCTCAACCTCCTGATTTAGCCTTGTATGTGCTTTCAGTGACAGAAACAATCTGGTGTTGTGATGGATTCCCATCGGCAGACATTCTCGATTAAATTGTGGCCGCCTAGTGCAAACACACGCCAAATGCTTGTTGAACGCATGACTAACAACCTTTCCTCCAAGACGATTTTCACCCAAAAGTACGGTAGCTTGACCAAGGAGGAGGCTCTGGAGAATGCTAAGAGGATCGAGGACGTTGCTTTCTCCACCGCAAACCAGCACTATGAGAAGGAACCCGATGGTGATGGTGCTTCGGCTGTGCAGCTTTATGCCAAGGAATGCAGCAAGCTTATTTTGGAAGTACTCAAGAAAGGGCCCGTGGATAAGGCCGCCACGAGAGAAACATCAGTACCCGAAGAACCTGCTCTGCCCCGTGAGACGGTTTTTGATATATCCAAAGGGCAGCGGGCTTTTATCGAGGCAGAGGAGGCAGAGGAGCTTCTTAAACCATTGAAGGAACCTGGCAATGCTTACAATAAAATTTGCTTTAGCAATCGAAGTTTTGGCATTGGAGCCGCCCGTGTTGCTGAGCCTATATTGACGTCTCTCAAAGATCAGATAAAGGAAGTTGACTTGTCGGATTTTATTGCTGGACGGCGTGAGGCCGAAGCTCTTGATGTTATGACCATTTTTTCGGAGGCGTTGCAAGGTAGTGTTCTCAGGTCTCTTAACCTCTCAGACAATGCCATGGGTGAGAAGGGTGTCCGAGCATTTGAATCGCTCTTGAAATCCCAGAGCTGTCTGGAAGATCTGTATTTGATGAACGGTGGTATCTCTGAGGAGGCTGCCCGAGCAGTCTGTGAGTTGATTCCTTCAACAGAGAAGATGAGGGTCCTCCAGTTTCACAATAACATGACCGGAGACGAAGGGGCAGTTGCCATTGCTGAGGTCGTCAAGCGTTCTCCACTGCTGGAGAATTTCCGTTGCTCATCCACTAGGATAGATCTGGAAGGAGGAATTGCTTTGTCAGAAGCACTTAAGACTTGTACCCATATGAAGAAACTTGATCTGCGAGATAATATGTTTGGTGCGGAAGCCGGGGTTTCCCTGAGCAAAGCTCTTTCGAGTTTTGGAAGCTTGACTGAGGTTTACCTGAGCTATCTTAATCTAGAGGACAAGGGAGCCATTGCCATAGCTAACGCTCTCGGGTTGTCTGCTCCTTCCCTCGAAGTCATAGAGATGGCAGGAAACGACATAACAGTTGAGGCTGCTCCGGCTATTGCTTCTTGCGTGGTGGCAAAGCAACGTCTAAACAGGTTGATATTGGCTGAGAACGAGCTGAAGGATGAGGGTTGTGTTCAGATTGCAAGGAGTTTGGAAGAGGGCCATTCGGAATTGCAGTACGTAGATATGAGCAGCAACTACATAAGGAGAGTCGGTGCACGGGTCTTGGCTAGTGTTGTTGTCAAGAAAGAAGCTTTCAAGCTGTTGAACATTGATGGGAATATCATCTCCGATGAAGGAATAGAGGAAATTAAAGAGATGTTCAAGAAATCTCCGGATTTACTTGGACCTTTGGATGAGAACGATCCCGAAGGAGGAGAAGATGAAGGTGAAGAAGAAGAAGATGAAGGCAAAGACTTGGCCGAAAATGAAGCAAACGAGGACGAGTTGGAATCGAAGCTGAAGAACCTTGAAGTTAATCAAGATGAATAAGTAGTCTATGCCTCGGCAACTTTTTGTTTTTCTTTGCTCTGAATGAGGTTTCTTTGATGTGAAAAACCGAAAAGACGGAGACGAGACTTAAGTATTGGTTCTGAGGATATGTTCTTCAATCAGTTGTACACCCTTTTTCTTGTAAACCATCTTCATGGGATGACGAAGACCAAAGAAGAAGAAGAGATCTTCTGCAACATGAACTCTTCAATGTCTGGTTAGATATGGCTTTTTGTTCTTGTCCTAAACCACCGAGTTAACACGTGTTTGAAAATAACGCATTTGAGGACAAGAAAATGTTATCATAGGCAAAGGTACAGAGGCAAGAAGAATGCCCACAAAAAAAAAACAATGATAAGACATGACACGTGAAAGAAGAAGATGACCAAACTTTCAACTGGGCGATTTCATGTTCAGTTTCTTCTACTTCCATTGGAACTTTGGCCTCTTGATTCAGAAGAAGAAGTCATGAAAGAGTATCTCGACCTTTTCTTCCTGTGAGTATTCCACGTGAATAGAGGCTTCTTACCACTTTCTTCTTCTTCTTCACCACCACCCTCTTCTTCCTGTTTTTCACTATTCTCAGTCGTTACTTCTTCATCATCATCCTCTTCTTCTCCGCTGGTTCCTTGGCTCCCAGCTGGGAAATTGTTGTTCGACTCTGTCACATTTCTCTCTACCACTGAGCCATTACTCGTAGGTGTGTTCATATTCTCGTCTCTCCTCTTTCGCTTCACAAAGAGTGCATTCACATCTTCGCCGCTCTCCACAGCTTTCATCCACTGTAAATCACTCAATGAGTCGCTGTAAACGACTTCTTTACGTTTCCGCTTACCCGTGACATTGATGGAGAAGTCATTCTTGGCGATTCTGGCCTTGTCTTCTTGGCTTTGAGTGGTGTATACCCACTCGGGTACTTCGTGCTCTTCCATGAGTCGGGACCTGTAGTTTTCCTTCTGACGCCTCTCCTCATCCATCCGTTCAAACATCCAAAACTCCTCCTCGGAACGAGCTGCAAGCCGATTGATCTCTCTCTCACTCGGCACATCGGTCCCAAGTGAGCTTGTTCCTCTCCTCATGATCTCCTCCAACATCTCTCTTCTGTCTTGGGCTGTCCAAATTACAAGACGTGTATTTCATTGCTAACGCAGTTCCATGCTATATATATCGACAAACCAGCTGGTAGATGATACTGACATTTCATTTTTATCACACTAATCAAAACCTCGAATATCTATAACGCACAAATTCAGACAAACACATATAATATACGTACCCCAATGCATCAAAACAGAGGATGGCATGGTGCTCGAGATTTAGGATCAGAGGAATAGACTTACCAGTGGATGTTGTGTTGAAAAGTCCAGCTTGGATGACTTTGGCATCAATACCCATCTTCTGCTTTGCACGCTCCAAGATCACTTCTTCAATCGACCCAACACTGACCAGCACAAACACTCTGACTTCCTTCTTCTGTCCTATTCGATGGGCACGATCCTCTGCCTGTTGGTCCATCTGGGGATTCCAGTCACTATCAAATATAATCACGGTATCTGCTGTCTGCAAGTTCAATCCGAGTCCTCCGGCACGTGTGCTCAATAGAAACATGAAATAGGGAGAGTCCGGCTCATTGAATTGCTTCAGTAAAAGCCCTCTTTGCTCTGTCTTTGTGGTACCGTCCAGCCTGAGGTACTTAAAATCGTTGACAGTCAAGTAAATCTCGAGAACATCCATCAGACGAGTCATTTGTGAGAAGAGAAGGACTCTGTGTCCAGCTCTACGAAGTTTTGGAAGAAGCCGATCTAGGAGCTCGAATTTGCCTGATGCTCTCACGATCTCTGGTTTCTTCCACATGTTATAGTCTCCTCCGACAAAAAGGTATGGGTGGTTACAACATTTCCTTAGTTGCATCGATAAATTCTGCAGACTCTTTGATTTACCGGATCCTGCACAGTAGAACCCCGATAACATAAATCTTTTGTACAATGTCTTTGCCAAACTATATAAACTGAAAACTCTGAAGAGGTAGAAGTAATTTAAGCTACAAACCGGTTTGCAGGCCAACTCTGCCTACATCTGTAACTTGTTGGTAATACACTTTTTGCCATGCTGACATATCACATTTCAGTATGACTTGTGTCTTTCCAGGAAGGAATTTCTCAACTTCGTCTTTTTTCCTTCTCAGTATGAATGGCCTTATAACCTGAAAGAAGGCTATGATTAACACAGAGCACACAGCGCATATAAATTACTAAGAATCTGAAAGAGAATTAGATTCAGAACTGACATGATGTAACCGATGAATAATCAACAGCTCCTCTTCATCCGTGAGAGAGACATTACCACGATCTGCGAAAGGAGCATTGAACCATTCCTCGAAATTCTGAACTGAGTTAAAGATGTGAGGAAGGAGAAAATTAAGCAATGACCATAGTTCTTGGAGACTATTCTGTATGGGTGTCCCGGTTAACAAAAGTCTGCGTTTAATACGGTAGCTGCATCCAGAAAAAAAAATTATAAAAAATTTAACTCAGATTTCCCCTATCAAAGCATCCTTAAAGAAACATATCAGAGAAACCACAAGTAGAAGAATCAATTAACAAAGTTCACTTCAATATGTCAAAAACAGTACACACTCTAGTAACATAAAAGAAGGTGAACGGGAAACAAAGATCTGTGTCTACTAGAATAGCCATCTCTACCATCGTATTACAGGGAGGGAGAATGTGTAAGAAAGACAAAAGGCAATCATTCATAGCATAGACATCCTGGAATTAAAAAATTTACATCCAGCGATGCATAAACTGAGTAATGCAATGCCACATTTTGATGAAAAATATACCAAACTAATGCTAAAGATGATGAGAAAACGATATGGAAACATACCCAGATACAAGAGTCCTTGCAAGTGCACATTCATGGTTCTTCAGCCGATGTCCTTCATCAACAATCATGTAGTACCAGTCAATTTTCTTCAAAAATGCTTTATCCCTCATGATAAGATCATAGTGTGTTATCAACACATTAAATTTTCCTTCTCCTGCTAATCTTTCCCTCATAGCTTTTCTCTCATCTATCCGTCCATCATAAAGAAAAGCTGCAATGCTGGAAAGAGACAAACACAAGACATTCATACATAATGTTTGCATGAATGTATGCATCAAGCATCAATAGAGAAAACTGTTCTGGTCATACCTGGGTACCCATGTTGCAAATTCATTTACCCAATTCGGTAAAACAGCTTTTGGGGCCACTATCAAATGTGGTCCGGTCACACCCTTATTCTCCAAAAGATATGCAATAAGTGATATTGTTTGGATCGTTTTCCCCAAACCCATCTCATCAGCTAAGATTCCATTGAGGTTATTGTTGAACAGAGAGACCATCCATTGAAGCCCTTCTAACTGGTAGGTTCTTAATTCCCCACCTTGAAGAAGAGATGGTTGCTCAGTCACCTGTAAGTATACACTGGTACTTAGATACTCTGGTTTCCAAGATGACAGTTGTTTAAGACACTTAAAACCCAAACTCGTAACAAATGTACTCTACATATCATAATTACCTTCTCTTGTATTGAATGGATAGCCGAGTTATACTGCCTCTGGCCTTCTAGTAAATCACTAGAGTCATCATTATTGTCAGATTCAATTATCTCGATATCTTGGTCAGGAAGTACTTCCTGTGGTGTTTCACTCTTTGGAACATCGGCCTCAGATAATTCAGATTCTGAACCTTTCAGCGGTTCAACTTCAAGGCCATCTGAAAGCTTAGCATCTTTCTGACGCTGAACAGCAGCTCCCAAATTAACAAGGAGCTTATTAGTCTCCTCTAGAAGAGTGGTTAGCCTTTCATTCTTGCTCTCCTTCACTAGTCTCATGTATGCCTCTTGATCATCAGATTTAAGCGCCATGAGCCTTAGTTTTTCAGCTCGTGTGGCACGCTGCCTTTGTCTTCCATGCCATGCCTGTAAAATAGTGGAGCAGACATGATAACAAATCTTCCTTAAATTTTGTATGCTATTAAAATCAAAGGACAATGGCTAAACTATTTCCATCTCAACTGTACAACTGGCAATGTACAAGCAGGG